TAAATAAATTGGCAAAGAGAACTGTATTTAAAAAGTCAGAAGATGCTTTAACACATTAAGCAACTTAGACACTAACAATAGAAAAATATGGACAATGTAAATAAATCATTCCAATAAAAGAAATATAAACTGAGCTAGCAATCAAGAAAGTGCTAGGATAACTTTTAGCCTGTTTATATAGTAATAATAAATATTCTACTCTGTGTCCCCCAGAATTGATAAAACCTGGTGTTCATATATTCTGCTAGGAGTGGAGTGTATAAATTGGTGGCTCATTTCAGGGCAATATGGTATCTATGATCTTAAAAAGCTGTTGTTTTTAAAGATGTATAAAGGTTTTATGGGGCCTCCATGGTGTCCTGGAGGTTAAGTCTCAGCTCTTGGGCTGAGTTTGATCACCGGCTAGGGAGCTGACCCACCTAGCACAGACCTCTCCTGTTTCCCTGCTGCTCCCCTCAGTAGTGTATTTTAGTAGATCTGCCTGTTCTGCTCCCGACTCTGTCTCTAGTGAGAGCACCCCCTGCACCTTACACCCCAGTTCTTCTATACACAAATATTTTTTAAAGTAAAAAATATTTTATTAAACATTAATATAGGAGCATACAACAGCAGTAAAGTGTTCTAAAGCAGTACTGTTCACAGCATGTTCCTCTAGTCACCAGCATCTGTGTCCCCTGGAGCTGATTAGAAATGCAAATGATCTGGTTCTTACCACTGACTCAGTCCCTGGGAGTGGAGCCCAGCCAGCTTCCAAATATCATTCCTGGTGACTTTCAGTTCTAAAGTAATTTAAGATGCTACAGATTTTGAGGCTTGATACATGGGAAAGTTTGGACTTTTTTCCTTGCTTTTGATTAGAAGGTCAGTTTACGTTCTTTGTTGCTGAACAAGAGAAAAGTAGAAGATATTCTGCCTCTTCTTTTTAATAAAACCCTTATTGTTGAAAGAATAATTGCTTTAAGGCAACTCACTACAGCCACCTCATTGAAGAAAGATGATTTTGACCTCGTAGAACCAAAGGACTACCTCTTGATGGCAATAATAAGCTTCTGGCCTAGATCAGAAATCCTGTAGATTAGAATTACAGTTTTAGTAGCTTCTTGTTGTGCATTTGTTTAGCAATTATCATTTAAAAGTTCAATACAGTCTGTTTCCCTTGACAGTTTGGTTAAGAGATGCTTATAATCAAGCTAACATTTTTGAAAATTCATATCTTGAGAATATTTCATATGTAAAATGTTATTTAAAACTAAGCCTCCATGTTTAAGATTTCAGTCTTATACAATCATTTCCATCTTTTAAAATAAGGAAATTGAATTAACTGATGGCTTTAGAATATCTTATTAAAATTCTCTTTATGTTTGTTTTTTATCTTTGTATCAGTAAGTCTTTGGTGATCAGGGTATATGAAAAAAACCAATAGCTTGATTTAAACAATAAAATAACTTTTGCTGTTTAATGCTATCGATTACTGTGATCACTACTAATGCAATTTTCAAAATTTACACAAATTACTCATAATATGGACTGTGTTTAAGAAGTCCTTCATTAAAGGGCATTGTGTTTCATCTTCACTTAAATTATTTTAAAATTTTCTCATGTATAATTTACCATTCAGAGATCATTTTTTAATATCTATGAAGCCTTTAAGAAAGCATTTTTGTTTTTTAGATATTTTCTATTGTCTCATGCTTCTAAGTATAATTTATATAAGAAGCTACTTTATTGTTGGTTGGTAGAAATTCTTTATTTTTAACAGATTTGTATCCCTCATTACAAACTGTTCTGTGATTTTTAAAAATACTGCATTTTCTTTAAAATAGAAAAGTTGTTTTCCCTGATATTAAAGCACTCTTAAACATGTAATTTGAAAGGAAATAATTTAATGCTGAAAGGGTACCTTAATTTCTAAACATGAATTCAATACTTTCAGGTTATTATTTCAGTCTGGTATTATAGAATTTTCTTTGAAGAATGATGCATGTCTTTGGGTGACCTTTGTTGTAGAAGGTGTATCAAATACATTCAGAAGAGAATTACAAACATATGTTGTACCTGTAAGCTTAATAAGCTCTCACATGATCAGTGTTTCTGGTTTTGGGATGAAATGCATAAAACCTGTTAGATTTTCAATAACACATGTCCATTTCCTTAAATTTTTGAAATTTCCTTCTTACTGTTGTTTGAATCACACATCTTTAGCTATATCAATAACCTGTAGATCCCATGCATAGAAGCATTATATGTAAATAAATACTCCTTTTCTCTGTTAAGCTTGTTAAAAAACCTTAAATTTTCCATGTTCACTTTATTTTTAAAGATATGTTTTTGACCTTTTCTTTTTATTTACTAGGGAAAAACTTTAAAATTTAAAGCACAGTTTTATGTTCTTAATACTATTCAATTATGGTGATTCACCTGAACCTCTGAAAGAATGATGAAGAAATGGACTATATTGGCATGACTAATAGTTTAAGAAGTGGGAGTGTAGTTCATCAGTACCTAAAGGGACTAATTATAGTACATGAAGCTAAGCTTGAAACTTAGATGTTCAAGTGCTTTAAAGATGGTAATACAGTTGTTTAGGGGTAAAAATACATGTTTTAGTTACAAATACATATATAACATTCCTTTCCAAAGTGCTGTAGATTTACCTAGAGAATTTTAAGCTAGTTCATATAAATCAATAGATTTATCTTCATCGACAGTACCCAGAAAGCCCTAAAAATATAAAACAAATTCCCTGCCACACACACACACACACACACACACACACACACACACACACACACAGAGGAACATTATTACAGCACATTGAAATTTAGTGCCTTTTTCTCTGTAGTCTATTTTAAATCAAAAGTTGTTGGATTAATGAGGGATAAAATACTTTAAGGTCTCTTTAGGAAAGGATTTCTAGTAAGAGGGAGTAAGTGTACTGGAAGAATGAATGTCTGATCCTTTTCGTTTCCTACTTGTGTGGGTGCAGTGTTTTTTGGTGTGTGTATTTCTTCAGAATTATTTTGGTAATCTTTGGGGGGGAAATATTGCACTCTTTTGAATGTAGATTTAAGTATAACACATTTAACTTTGAAATATTTTGAAACTTTGAAAAAAGGTGAAACACCTTGAAAGAAAAGCCTTAAAGAAAAATTTTATTCACTTACATTCTAAATTGTTCATGTATTTTGTTATCTATCTATTATAACATTAATTTACCTTTATTTTTCTCCTCTTGAGTGTTTGCATTGAGAGGTTACCTTGTCTAACTTTTGTTTCATAACAGCCTTTGATCTAGCCCAAAACTCAAGAAACAGCTACATGCATTTTTGGAGGACAAAGGTTTTCTCTACAGCTCTTTAACTGCTTTATAATGGATAGTAAAACTAAATGAATGTAACTTAATTTTTCACAGTACTGGTTATGAGAGGATTATAAGTGTCAGCAATTATGTAGATTGAAATTAATTATTTTAGCTAAAATCCAAAAAATGTGTAAAGGGCACAGTTGATGGAGATTTTACATGTGAAAGGTGGCTTTAACTTGGTTTTATCACTTAGACAAATGTGATATTAAAGTTAATTGCTTTAAAATTGGGGAGAAAATTTATTTTTGATATTGGAATAGAGTTAACTGAATTTATGTGGATCCTATGGTGTTTTGTTAATTACATGTTTAATCTGAAAAAATTAAAGTGAATATGTTTGTAGCTATGACACTGAAATGTAACTGAATTTCAGAATTTAAGACCCTTTATGTCACCTAGACTGTCTTAATTCTTAGTAAATCACAAGTATCTAAAATCATTGCTTTACTTAATCATTCACTAATCCACAAAAAGTTATTAAACATACCATTTATCAAATCTTGTGGGGGCACCTGAAAATATAGAGATGATTAAGGCAACATTGCCTTCCTACCAGGCTTATAGGAAAAAGTTTAAATTCATAAATCTTTATAGTTTAATGTGGCAAATTCTATACTTAGTATCCTTTTCACCCACAGATCAGAGGCTTATTAGTGCCTAACTCAGTAGAAGTATCCTGGGGTAGGTTTGCATTGGAAAGAATTTGTAAACTGGGTCTTAAGGGACATTAGTGTTTGTCTCTGGGGTTGCAGTTAAAGGGCAAAGAATGTACAGAAAGAACTTCAAGACAGCACGGCATGGTGTGAGAATTCCCAGAGGTGGATTCTTCAAAGGAGTTGAATGCTGAGGACATCAGGAACTTTATGATGTGGATGGGTGCTCTACTTTTTCTAGAAATTCCCTTTGAGTACTTCATTTACCCAAGCCATTTAATACTCATTATACTAATCAAATACTTTAATGGAATATTTTAAGAACTTAACACAAGAGGGGATTTTTGAAGGCAACCGTGAGTTAGCACATATTTACTGAGTAAGGACAAGGCATTTTACCAGATGCTTCTCTTTAAAACTCCATCTAGGACCTCCCTGCTGGCGAAAGGGTTAAGTCTCAGCACTGCTGAGCTGAGTTCTGAATTCCTCCTGGCCTGCGAGCTGACCCATAAGGCACAACAGACCTCTCCTGTCTCACCTGCTGCTCCCCTCAGTAAATCTGCCTGTTCTACTTTCTACTCTGTCTCTAGTGAATCCTCTCACCACCACATCCACACTTCTGGCCTACAGCCAGTTCTTCAATGTATAAATAAGTCTGTTAAAAATAAATAATAAAACTCTATGTGTTAAAATTCAAATTCACATCTATAGGAAGAAAGCTCACCATGGTACTCTGGTATGTTGGAAAAATCAGTATTATGGCTATAAACTTGTGTGACCAATATGAGGCACCAATGCAGAGTGGTTTCTTTCACTTGGCTCTTTAAAAAGTAGAGCTAACTTGTCTGCCCACCTTTCTCCATTAATCACAGTGAAAGAGAGAGATATATAAGCAGATCAGAGGCAATGACAAAGAGCTCAAACATTCATGCTGCCTTGTTACCTAACTTGCTGCTTGTCCCTTCTTCATTACTATTTTAGATAAATGATATTGAAAAGATTTAATGAAAGCATTTTAGGACTTCCTCCCCAAATTAGCACATAAAAGTATTTAAAAGATACACTTCATCAGTTTCTGGAAATATTGCTAAGTATGGATATATTTTCTGATCCTCTCATGCTGTTTCTTTTGCAGACAAACAGATGATAAGCTAGAGAGGCCTTCAGTAACATATGCAACGTATCGAGGCCCCAGACAGATTAAGAAATATTTGAAACAACAAACTGCATTAGAAGTTGTGGCTCCCTTGGATAGAGAAGATGAAAGTTCTGATTCTAGTACGAACACACATATTGGTCCCAGAAGTGAGAGTGAGACTGGGTTTGTGCCAGTGTTGTCATCAGCTGACACAGCTAGATCAGTGAAAGGACATGTGCTGGACAGCCCCATGGAAGACTTTGACTGTTGCAGAATAAATCTCAACACAGAGAGCCATCAGACAGACAACTCAGAACTGCTCAAAACTGCTGCTTCTAAAGAAGTTTTAAATAAAACTGATTTTGAAGGACCTGAGAGAAATAGGTCATCCCCATCTTTTGTGATTCGCCCCAGCTCTGCAGCTAAAGAATCTGACTCACAGCATCATTTAAGATGTATACCAGTTTCTCAAACTGACAGAACTAAGATATGTTCAGCACTGTTTGCCAGAAGTAACAGCAGCATAGTTTCTTCCAGTCCAGATTTTCAGTGGACAGGAGCAGCTGAGATGGCAGTGAAAAAAAAGGACTTTGTGATGAGTGACAAGACATTGGGGCAAAGAGAAGAGGTTGCTGGATTTGAAGAACCTAATACTTCTGACTTCCTTTGTAGTAAACCTGATGAAAGTGATACTACTAAACAGGAAAGTATGAATTTGCCAAGTTCAAATAAATCAATTAGGCATGAAGGTCTGCAGTTGCCAGAGAGTAAGTGTTCTGACAAGCAGACAGTAAGTAACTCATCAAAGCAGGCTGCCAGTCACACTAGCATCATTGCTCCTCAGAGACGTGCTGTGACAGACACAGAACTTGTAAATGAAGGAAGTAGGTTGTCAGCCCAAGATTCAGAGAAAAATTTGGGTGTTATGGAAATCAGACAAGAAACAGAAACTGCCTCAATTTGTGAACCCACAGCTTCGAGTCATGTAAAAGCAACAAGAGACAAACTAGAGCCTTTTCCCAAAGATAGTGATCAGTTTGTAACAAAAGCCAAAAAGCTTGACTTAAGACCACATGGCAAAATGCCTCACAATATTAGACTAAAGCAAAAGGATTTGGCCTCTGAAAAATGGATCCATGAATCAGAAGTTGTCACATGCTTAGAAAGTAAAAGAGCACCTGAACTGAATGTTCACCTTAATAGAAATCACATTTCAGAATCGCTTCCTGACTGTGAAAGTCAGCAGCAAGAAAAACTATTACCAGATGCCAGAAAGTCTCCTACCCTTGACTGTAAAAAATCAAATCTCAATACTTCATCTCCTACCTTTTCTTCTGGCGCTGACATGATAAGCAAGTTGGTTAATCCTGTTTTAAAGAACGAAGAGTCCTCTGTGCTCATTACAAGTGGAGATGTGAGCATTGTTGGTATTGCCACGCAATCTAACAATTGTCAAAAAGAGAATGTGGGAAGTCATGTTGAGGTTGCAAGCAGCAAAAGTCCTCCCACTTGCCTTCACCGTGAGCTTGCACCTGCAGTTGAATCCAAAGAAGTTCTTTCTGAGAGTCAAAAATGTCACATGCCTCTAGATCTTGAAGCCATTGACACCCTTCTAACTGGAGTGGACTCAAGATTTGGGTCCACATGCCTCTCTAAGGTTCACAGGTCCATCTCACCCCAAGATACTAATAAAGCAGAGTCAGTGCTTTCAAAAACTGTATCAAGTAAGAGCACTGCAGAGAAGTCTAAGTCTCTTTCCTTAAGAACCAAAACTGGTAATGTTGCTACAATTTTATCACAAGCTGAGGTTGATGTTCAGAGCAGTACTCTTGTTGAGTCTCATTCTGGAAAAGAGAAAACAGTAGCCCTCTCCAAGTTATCTGTGTCCCAGAAAGAGCCCAAAAACATTAAACAGGATAAAATTTGTTCTCCGTGCAGAATGACAGATGTGCCAGCCAAGTTAATTTTATCAGAATCAACTTCCCTAAAGGTTGAACATGACAGAGCTGTTCAATTAATGGATCATAGTCAGGTTAAAGAGAAATATTCAGACTCTGGCCTTCTAGAGAATTGCCAAACTGAGGTTTCTCTGTCTGCCACTAGCTATCAAGGGAAACAGGGAACAGAAGTCATAGATAATTCTCCTGATTGTCCCCAAAGTAACACATCTGAGATTTTGCCTCCTGTTCATGATGAAAAAGTCACTGGTCAAATGGCTAAGAATTTTGAAGCCAGTGCTTGTCAACCTTCAGCTATTTGTGGGACTAAAGAGATTTCTGGTTTGTCAGAAATGGCAGAACTCAGCTTAGTTAATATTTTCCCCAAATTCCAAGAAACTGATATCACAAAAGTAAATTCATCTTTTCTGGGTTCCGATATCAGTATGGAAAAAAATACTTTTGCATCTGAAGAGACAAGCTTTTCAAATATGCCTTCTGTTTTGACATCAGGAAAGATAGCCTCATCTCACAGAGTGAAACAGAATACTGATTTCCTGAGTGGTGGTTTTGCTCGCTTGTCTTGCAGTAACTCTGAAGAAGTTAGCTCACCTACTCTCCCAAATAGCTTTGGTCCTGTGCAAGTTACCGTAGCTGTCACACCTGAAGGTGCCACCTCAGCTAATCTGGTGAACACTAACAACTCCTACTTGGAATTTGAAACGTCTGTCCCCACAGGGGCAGAAGTGACCCTTTTGCAGGAACATTTTGAGAATCATACTACAAAGGCATCTCTTGATTGCCCAACTGCTACCCAATTTGATAATCCTGTGGAAGCAGTTGCTGGTGCTCCAGCGTCAGTTAACAGCTCAAGCCAGCAGTGTTCTGAAGCATCTTCTGAGAGTGTAGAAGAAACCAGAAAGAGAGCGCATGACCCACATTTAGATCTCCAAAGTGGTTTACATAAAAAGGCTGATATATTGATTGGTGAGATTTTTGATTTTGTCAGGAAAGAACTAAACTCCAAACACACAGTTGGTACCTGCCAGGAGCCTGTAGTCATAGATAGCGTAATGAATCCAAGTGCTCTGAAAGAAGACATCCTTGAGAAAAGCCCATCAGAAATGACACTGACAGGGGCCCAGCTGGCAGAGCATTTGGAAAAGCAGGACATGGACATGCCACAAGCCAAAGGGGAAGAAAAGGCCAGTGTTTCACATGCAGTTGGTGAGAAGAGTCTCCTTTTTGGTTCTGATAGAAAGAGTGTGTCTCGTTTGGTAGAAGACCAAGCTAGGGAATTAGTCAATGAAATTATTTGTTCAGTACAAGAAAGTCTGATAAGTGATGTTTTTGAAGATACTGAGGATACCTGGCATTCTGAACTTCAGGCTAGTACGTCAAAAATTCTGAATAGTGATAGTGTTAACCCGTGTGATATAACAAGGAAATTTTTGGTATCAGAGCAGGCAGTAAATGAAAGCACATGTGAAGTAAGTGGGGAACTACTAGATAAATTCTTCTCTGTAAGTAACTTACTTAGTGGCACAGAGACAATTAAAGGAAAAGAAGTTATTCTCCATCAAAAATCTGCATTATCTGAAAAGGGAGCTAGACAGTCTGATAGTGTAAGTTTGCAGGAAACAGATACTGTTTTATTAGCAGAAGACATGCCCCAGAATGAGTCAGATGAAGTAAAAACACACTTATTTCTCAAAGAGGACTATAAAGAGAAAGTGGGAACAGAGTGCATGGACAGTCACAAAACTGGGACAGAGGATACAAGAACTGCTTTTTTAAATTTCACATGGCCTTCATTTGCCAATGATGACCTACATGTACCTGGGACATCCAAAAGCAGTTTGTCTGATAGCCACGTATGTATATCTGATAAAAATTTCCCAGGTCACATCAATAAAAGCACACCCCTTGCCATGTCAGAAGTAGGGAAGGTACACAAGAAAGATACTGAAGTAAACATGGGGAAAATTGACCTTATACCTTCCATGTTAGAAATGGGGAAAACAATCAGAAAGGATGCTGAACTGAATGTCACAAAGATTGAGCCAACAGCTGATGTTTTTAAAATGGGAGAAGCATACCAAAGGGATGCTGAGAGGTATATTGAAAAAACTGAAGGGCTACCTGTCATTTTAGGAGTGGAAAAAGTTTATAAGTTGAGGGATAGTGAAGGAGATATTAGCAAAACTGATGTGATGCCTGTCATCTCAGAAGTGAAAAGTATCTATCAGAAAGATAATGAGGGACTTACTGGAAAGACTGAAATACTATCTGTTACATTAGAAATGGACAGTATTTACCAAAAGCATGCTGAAGGGGATGTTGGCAAGACCGTAGTAGCATCAGTTACATCAGAAATGGAAAATATCTACCAAAAAGGGATAGAGGAAATTACTGAAAAGACTTTAGTGACACCTGTTACATTAGAAAGGGAAAATACTTACCAAAAGGATGTTGAAGAGGTTATGGACAATATGAAAGAGACTCCCATTATGTCAGAAGGGGCAAGTATCTGCCAAGAAGCTTCTGAGGGGATCACAGGACAGACTGAAAGACCTATGTTGGAAAAGCAAAATATATGCCAAAAGTTCATTGACCAGGGTATTGGGAACACTGAAATGGTGCCTGTTGTGTCAAAAGTGAAAGAAGCAAATACCAAGACAGCACCTGCCTCACAAGTAGAAAAAACCTTTGAGATTGATGCTGGAGAGACCGTTGGAACAGTTGTGCCTGTACCCTCTATGCTAAAAATAGAAAGAATAGCCCCTGAAGATTCTGATGTGACTATTGGGAAACATGAGGTGGTAAACCTGCAGAAGACACATGAAACCAGCCTGGGGTTGCCAGTTATGCAAGCAGAGGGTATGTCTTCCATGTCCAAAATGGAAAAGGCACCCCAAGTGTATGATGAAGAGAATGCTGGAGAAATGGAGGAAGATTCCATGGAAATAAAAGAAGGCTTGATAGCTCATGACAATAGGCTTGCTTCGTATTTCAGGGGCTATGAATCACCTACATTAAGTAAGGACTATGAAGGTTACCCAGCCTTAGCATTGCCAGATTTTCAACCCCAGGATATGAGAGAAAAGCTCGACAAAAGCAAGTCTGTGACTGCAGTAGATAAGAAAACAAAAGATCTCGTTTTTAATAATGAAAAAGAACCCAACCTAGGGTTCACTTCTCAGGATGAACAAGAAAATTCTTCCTTTACTATATTATATGAAGAACCTCTTCAAGAGGAGGACAGGTGCATTTTTACAGAAGTAAGAACACACTCTCTCCCGTTTCCTGATACAGCCCCTGAAGACATTCCTGTTTACGCATGTGAAAGATCTGAGAGTAGAACTGACCTCATCCATCATTTTGAAAAGGAAGGTAAATTAGGTGAGATGTTTGATAGTGATAATTCAGAAATGTTCTTGTCAGTGGAAGCCAAAAGGTACAAAATTTATCCCTTAGCTTTGTCTCCCATTTATGAGGATGATAGCTCTCAGGAGGACGTCATATCCAGTGAGGTCTCACCTGGTCATCAAGGCTCCACGAAATCAAGAGAGAGTGCAAACCAGCCCTCTTCCATTCTGTCACTTCTGCAGTCAGTGTCAGAGCGTTTAAAGATGAATTTTGATGATGACAGGCAGGAGGTAGGGGAAGAAGAGGAAGATGAGGAAGAGGAGGAATCATTGCATATAGGAAGTCTGAGAGCTAGCCGGAAAGAAACTGTTACCTTCAAGCTGCCAGATCCTTCTACTCCATTTAACCCTGACGATGTCGAGGAAAAGACTGAAATTTCTAAAAATTCATGTGTAATACCGAACGAACCTACTACCTCCAATCTACACGTTGGTCTGTGGTCAGAAAAGAACACTTGTCTACAAAAATCTGACCTGACTTCTAAACTGCATTCGTCCTTAAAGAGTGCTTATCATCAGTATTTGCAGACTTCTAAAACCCATTCCTCTGAAAAAGGAGCTAGATTTGGTGGGGTTTTTCAGGAACCAGTGTCAAAATATTTCCGTACTCAAGACAACTCAGGCAGATTAAACCTGTTTACAGAGGTAAGTGAATTGTTAACAAATGAAGTACCATTGAAATATAGCTTCAGGTCATGAAGTGACCTGAAATTTTATTAAGAAATCACTGTTTTGAAGTTGCATAATGATTTTTTTAAAGATCAGCATTTTTGGTTGAAGTAGATTATAACTCATGTACTTTTGGTGGGCCATGTTACACTGAGAGAACGAAACTGCTTAGTCAGAATTTAAAAGGCATAGAGCAGCAGGGTTCTTTACTAATACCTGTTTTGTTTTGTTTTGTTTTGTTTTTTAACTAAGTAACAGTATTATCTGGGAAAATTCCTCTGTTGAGCTTAGGTGTTGTGGAATTATTAATATATAATGATATCTTAAGTACTTAAAAAATTATGTATTTGCTTGAAATCTTTTCACTGTAGATGTTCCAGTCATTCACAGAAAGCAGGACAATGTAAAGCTTAAGTCAAAGTGTTGAAAACATACCCAGAAAATGTTTTGATATTGTTACATTATTCTTTTTGACCAACAAATATTTAAATATCTAACATGTGATATTAAAGGAATGTGGGACTTTGCTTTTTGGTATTTCCAAGACTCTGGGAACTTACCCTAGGATTTCCAAGGTGCAAGAATTTGTAGTCTGAACAGCTTTGGTAGCAAATAGTAATACTTGAATATCAACCAGTAGCCTGCAAATCAAAGCTGTTCTAAAAGCAATGATAGGATTTAAAGAAATGTTTAATAGTTCCCATTACCAACCAAATCAAGTGAAACCTTTTTTCTCCGTGTAAAGTTCTGTTTGTCTCACCCTTTCCCCTAGTTACACAGCCTATGTTTCTACCATCATATTTGTTTAAGGTGGTTCTTTTCCTGGAATTTTATTCTCGATAACCCCTACCCCAACCTACCACATTTCCTTTCCTTCACGTACTGAAGTCCTGTTCTTCAAAATCTTCTGGATACCACTTCCACAGAGAAACTTCCTGTGAAGTCACCTCACCTCCTCATTGCTGCCATTCACCCTGCCCCCTGACTTCTGTTACCTGGCCTTTTCTTTGTATTTTACATGTGGGCTTAACTTAGTCCTTCACTTAAAAGAATCATGCAAGTGTGATCATCAGTTTCCCCTTGCTAAGCTGTAAGCGCTCCATGATAGAGACAACACATTGTTTCCCTTTATTCATATCTTTAGATTCCTTGTAGTATGTGCAAATATCCTGCACATATGGTTCGTTAGTAAATACAAGATAAATTGGATTTGTGACTGCTAAGAAAGTGGACTATTTGTCTTTTGGTTAACGGTTAAGGTTTAACTTCACTTTCCCATTGTTTCAGAATGTTGACAGACAAACTCTGAGGTATAACCCAAGACCTGGCAAGGTAAGCATAAGTTTCTTAGGTAGACAAGATGTGATGTGATAAGTAAGATTACCTTTAGGCTTTTGGAGTTCAAATACTTCTCAGCGACTTTAGAAAAGCATTATTTCGTGAAATAAACCAGAAAGAAAAAGAAAAATACCAGATGGTTTCACTCATAGCAGGAGTGAAAAGAATTGGCCATGGGGTGGGGGTAAGGCAATTGTAATAAAGTAAAAATGAAAAACAATGATCAACTATAAACTATTTTATGGGGGTTGAGAGGGGAGTGGGATCGAAACTGGGATGGGAAGAGTGCATGGGACTACGTTGATGACACACAGGTGAATTGGTGGGAAGTCCACAGGGTTACAATGGAGATTGTACAAAATGAAGAATGATGTAAAAATTTTAAAAAATCATTATTTAGCTCAAGGGTCTAGTGTACAAAGAAATGTTTGTTTTTATAAGGATATTGTATTTTTTATATTCTAGGACATTTTGGAATTTTAAATGCATTCTTAAAATTAGTTAATGTGCCTACTTATTATATGTTGCAGATGGTTATCTATGATGTCGATGGAAGTAAATATAAACAAGAGATCTACTGTAACATTCCCGATGCTACATCATGGTCCTTTCCAAATGGGGTACTGATAAAAGTTGTAAGGGGCTGGTAAGAGCTCTCAAAAATTTTGCAGGATTGTCCCCCCAAATTTAAGTGTTTTTCTGATATAGATACTTTTATGTTTTTTATGAATGTTATACTACCTTTCCTTTGTTTTTGAAGAGATACTTTGAAACATTGTTTTATAGTTTAATTGTTCTCTTTATATAACTGTGGCAAAAATACTGTTTTTTATTGCTTAATGCCAACAGTAAATAACATGACCTAGTAAATATAATATAAACAATATCGTTGTCACTGCATTATTAGCAGGATAGATATGGCAAGTTGAATTTAAGGCTTCAGTTGAATAAAGCAAAGCTTTGAAAATAGTTCAAATTTTGTGGAATGCTAAAGGATGTCTAGGCCACGTATTTAAAGTCATTTGTATAACTGATAAGTTCATGAAGTGGAAGATTCTTTGGTCTAAAAATGAGGGAACACCACACTTAGGACCTGGTGGACATGGTGGGGGCAGAATTTCTCCATTGGTTGTCTGTAGCTACTGATCAGTTTTATATTGTGAACCTTATGATTTCATCTTCAAGAAATAAAGGAAATATGTGCTCATTATCTAGTAGCCAGAAAATTTGGGTATATTTTGGAATTGTTATGATACGGTGTAAATTATGTAAAGACCTAATTGTGTAGATTGCATAGTTCATTACACATTGCACATAACATAGGCATAGATTGTGGTAGTATGTTCAGATATTATAATCCCACAGTTGTATGCAGTTTTATTCTTTCTTTAACTATACTTAAATTTGCATGTATCATTGCTTCAAAAGTAGGATTATATGCTACCAGTAGAAAATAACCCAGTTTAGAATTTTAAGTAGATATCATTTTGTCTACTGAGGTAAAGTATCATTTGCTTAGGCCTTATTTTGTAGAAAATTATCTCCAACTTATCATTGTTTTTATATTTGTTCAGTTGGATTTTATATGAGAAACCACATTTCCAAGGTCAGAAATGTGTGTTAGAAGAAGGAGAAAAGGTGTTAAATCGGGACTGGATCCTTCAGAACAGAAAGCACCCACAAAGAAACTTTGTATTGGGCTCTATCAAGCGTGTTTTAAAGGTGACAGAACTACTGATCTTATATTTTTTTGTCTTTGCCATTTACTAATGCTGTACTATGGCATAGTCATGTTTCTAAATAATTACTAACATTTGTACTAATTTTATTGTCATTTTACATTAAGTTCTGACTTTACAGATAATAAAGTATGGTATAAATGATAAAATATTACCTAAAATATGACATATAGAATGCTAATATTTTATAAATAGATGTCTTTTTTAAAAATTGTAGTAGAAATATCCTTAGAAAACCGTCTTTAGAAAAAGAACCTGATTTCCAAATATCTTTGTGTAGTATAGATTTCTACTCCTCAGTACAGCTCTATGTGTGTGTGTGAGAGAGAGAGAAAAAGAGAGAGAGGTGTCAGGTAAAATTTAGAAAAGGAAGAATGAGGAGAAGAAGGAGAGGTGTTGCATTTTTATTTTCTGTTGAGAAAATATTATTTAAATCGTAAGATGAGGAACGTCTTCCTATATATTTTGTGGGAAGTGCTGTGGTACTTTAGAGGTGATAAAAACAAATATTCCTTCAGGGGTATCATAATATGTGATCTAGTGCTGTTACTCCTATGACTGTTGGCAGATATGTTTTTCAAGGATGGAGGTTTTGTGTATATGTTTAAAAATATAAATGGAGGTGATGCATGTTGTATAATTGTATAGACATGTGAGTGAGACAAGATCTCTCACTTCAGATTACTTAAAGAAGAAGAAACAGCTGCATCACACAACCGTAGTATGCTCTGCTGGGCCCTGCGGCACCCAGAGCAGAGGCACCTCACCTGGAAGAGGAGGAGGCTCCTGATTAAATCTTGAGAGAGTAAATAAGAGTTTGGCTCGTGGGAGAGGAGAGGGCGTTCCTGCAGGGCCACTTGTGTCAGACACAAGGTGAATGTCAGTGAGTTGCAATTTTGCAAGGAGATTGATGGCTCAGCATAGAGGGTAGGGTTTGTTTTCATTGAAAAACTTAGCAGCATTTTGAGTGCTTGCTTTTTTAGCTAATTCACTAGCAATCCCTTGAAATGAATAATTAGTCTGTGGGCAGAATGTTCAAAGATCTAAATAACTTACGGTTCTGTGCTTTCCTTGTGGGTATCTGGCACCATGCCAAGCCTAGTGGGGAAAAAATGTCGAATAAGGGGTATTGGACACAGCACCCTTCTGGCCCCCTAAATACCAAACAACAAAAAACTCAGTTTGTAGAGCATGGTTATGTGCACATCTGCTAAGTGCTTGGAATAGATTATAAGAATGAGTGCCATGCTTGCATTTTTGCCCTTTTCTATTATTTGTTCTTGGTGTTGTTTTCGAAATTGCAATGTTAGTGCCCACAAGTCTTAAACAGCCTAGCAGCTTGGTGTGAGGAAGGAAAATAGAACTATTGAGGATTGAATGGAAAAGGCATTAGCATTGTTCTAAATATTTTACAAAGTAAGAATCAGGCTTCCTTTTTCCAACTTGGTCACAATTCTGCCTGTCGATAGCTGCTTCTTCTTCTTTTTGCTAAGTTACTGTAAAGTGCCCTTCAGTTGCTAGTGTTGGACTGCTTTTGTCCATCAAGAATAATGGACATCACCACTTCACCTCTATTTATATCATCTTTGTCTTGTTTAACCTCTTAATTCCTCTGCTCTACATAGTTCTAACTTTAACATTCTTTAAAGATAATTTGCTGCAGAGGTCTTCACTGTGCTGTGATTCAGTAGTGAAGATGCAGAAGAGACTGTCAGTTCTCTGCTACTGCAGATTGTGCTCAGAGGTCATCCTTACTCCCAGTGGAAATAATTGGGGTGGGGTAGCAATGCGGTTTATCTTAAGTCAAATGCTTTCCTTTTTTTGATCATAAAAGACATGAATAGTGCAAACAATATATCAAACTCATTACTGTGTTTACTGTACATTTAACATTTTTTAAGGAATAATATTTTTTCTTAAGATCAGAAGTGCCCTACATGATAAGCTGAGAACAGAGATTGTTTTCAGAGGCTGATCTTACATAGGAGACAAGTTAGATTTTCTATGTGGTTTTTTAACTGTAATTTATTCTTACCCTTTTTCTATCCTATTGCCTCATCTCCATTCCTACTAATTGCTTTAATTGTCTATGCTTATAAATTTTACTAAGATGTATTTATAAAGTACGTCATGGCTAGAAAAGCCTTGGGAGGAAGTCATATAAATGCTCCTTTACCAAGAATAAACTGTCTATTGTTGCTAAGTTACTGTAAAGTGCCCTTCAGTTGCTAGTGTTGGATTGCTTTTGTCCATCAAGAATTATGCAAATCTTGAAAAGACAATGAATAACCACCATCAAGAAAGTAGATCTTAATAAAGCAAAACCTTTTTCACTCAACTGGAGAAAAAAACCGGGCCTCTAGTAAAGATAGTTGAGAACACAGACATTCTTATTTATGTTTATATTCCATTATTTAGCCATCATTATGCTATTTTTGTCTGTGTTATAGTAGTCTTCAATCCCTCTTGGTTTTTTCCCTTGTAAAGTACACCACCCAAACATTGTTTGTATAATACAATGCAGAGGAAATTTGTTTGTGTGAGACACTCAGTTATGTATTCTGTTACTGTACCTCAGATCCCTAGGGGAACATTAATATGGCAGTACTTAAAATAATGTTACTAGGTCTCTTATTATTAATAGCAAACAAAAGACTTGAAGATGATTGACAGGTGGCTTCTCGGTGGACATTTCTGTTTGGGAAATGAATCTTTAGAAGGAAATGTTCTTGTAAACTTTAAAAGGTGTTTTTTCACTATATTATGTTTTAATCTTTTCTGAAAATAAGATGTATCAATATGCTTATGTTACTTTTTTTTAAGATTTATTCATTTATTCATATAGAACTGGGGTACAGATCAGAGATGTGGAGGGTGAGAGGATTCACCAGAGACAGAGTGGGGAGCAGAACAGATAGATCAACGAAGTACACTGCTGCGGGGAGCAGCGGGCGGGTCAGGAGAGGTCTGCTGCGCCATGTGGATCTCCTCCGAGGTAGGCAGGGATCAAACTCATGTGGAAGTGGCTTAAGCTTCCCAGTGCAGTGCCTTAACCCGCTGCACCATCAGGGAGGGCCGCTTATGTTACTTTTAATAGTGATTAAGCAATAATGAGAGAACTGGATTTGGAGAAAGGTTAAAACTCAGAAAATTGAAGTTTTAAAAATGTAAGGGTTGATTTTAATAATAGAGAGTATATTGTTCAGGGCCCTCCCTGGTGGCACAACAGTCAAAGCCAGCTATCCACAGCCACTGCAGCAAGAGTTTGACCCCTGGCCAGGGAGGTGACCCACATGACATGATAGACCTCACACAATCCACCCACTGCTCCTCTCCATCGTGTGTTTCATTACATCTACCTGTGTCACTAGTGAATCCTCTTATCCCCTGCACCTCTGGCCTGTACCCCAGTTCTTGTATGCATGGATAAATCTTTTTTAAAAAGGAAGTAAATTGTTCAGTCTAATAATGTCATCTCTGTTAGCCTATATTATTAAAGTGTTACTTAAATTTTTCAATATGTTAGATGAAACTAAGGCTACTGAAACTTGATTTGTGTGATAAACACTCATTTAACTATGATACTATGATAGGTTCTGATAGGGTGTGTGTGCAGACATAAGCACATCTGTCATTTTGGAGAAGGAAAAAAATAATTCCCTTTTTTATAAGGTTGATTCTCTTAAGAGCTTTTTTTTTTTTTTTTTTTAGAACTTAACTATTCAAATGTATTCATGAGAACACAGAGAATTGCCTACCTTTAGTTGCAATGAGGGAATCATTTACAAAGTTTAGAGAGCGCAGAAGGAGGTATGGAGATGATACAGAGACCAGTCTGAATAAAGAGATGTGGGGAACACGTGTCAGTCACAAAGTTGGTGCCATATTGTTAAAAGGCCAAAAAAGTATAAATTCGATGTACTTGGATCTCACAAGCCCAGTTGTTTGAAGAGTAGCTAGTATCTGACTGTTGTGTAAACCCATAGTTAGCCTTAGTTAGTCTTGGCCTTGATGCAGGGCTTTCTTTGACAGTGGGGATCAGTGATATTCACAGGTGAGATTTTAAAGGAAATGTGACTGGGCATGGTGACAATGGATGTGTGATTGAGTATAGACTCAAATTCCTTAATGACTTTCTTCAATCTAATTTGTACTGAAGAATAATAGAACCCCACAAGTAGGAAAACAGATTTCCTTTCCCCTCACCTCTAATTCCTACTTCTTTTGTCAGTGTGAATTATTTAACATAATAAGAGGTGCCTAGCGCCTCTATTAATTTAGTTTTATGTCCCCTGTGAGGTCAGCTTTTGTTTAATTCCCTGTGGCTTTGTTACACTTTGGAGAAGGAAGGCTTGCAGATTTTTGGCACTCCTGAGCTTGGTAACTTGAGCATTCCTTAAAAGAACGGGACTGTTAAAAGCAAAGCACAGAGAAGTGGGGTAGTACTTTTTTAATTAATATTTTAAATTTAACATTTAATATTTCTATTAAATTAGTAAATCAGAATTTACTTTGTGCTAAGTTCAATTGTGATTAAATGTTAATATTTATTAACAAAAGGTGTCATTAATGTTTGTCACCAGTGAAACTTTCAGAAAACTAAAGAATTGGTGAGAGGAACAATATCTCCTTATGTTGTTTCTGTAAAGAAGTTTGACTGAACCTTGGGGATTTTTTGGACTTTTTTCCCTTGGTTGTTTGGATTTTTGGGTTTTTTTTTTTTTTGGTTGTTTTCGGCTTGTTTTTTTTTCTCCAGGACTGCAGCATTCCTGAGATAGTACTTTGTGCACAGTCTGATTCAGCTTGTTGCCCTGTCTACATCCAGCGAGCAGTCCCCAATTTGGAAGAGTTGAATATCCCCAAATCTGTGTCCTTTACTGTGAAGTCTGGAGTGTACGTATCAGTTACTCTTTACTATGAAGAGTTTACTAACTTGATGGCCACTATGTTAATTTCCTGTTTCATATTTCAGTAGGTAACATGCATATCTGAAATTTTTATTAATGTCACTCATACTCTTGTATACCTAAGAGAAACTGTTGCAGAAATTAAGTCTTCAGTTCTAATTAAGGCTCCAGTTAAGAGGAAGTTAAAGAATTGCCAGACATAGTTCTTGATAGATGCATCCATTGTCTTTTCATCCACCAAATTTATGTACCAAGAAATAAAAACATGTACCTAACCCCAAATTCTGAGCCTGAACTGATTGTAGATTGTCTCAGTGTTGCTGGTCACTGAGTATTTCCACAGTGTCAGGAGCAGGGTGCCTGTTTGTTACTTCTTTGTTTCTGCAAAGCAGGTAGAACTACTCTCATAAGCGAGGAAATTATGTTGTTTGTCCCTGGCTATCAGCTGCTACACATCGATTTGATACAAGGCCCTTCTGATTCCATAGTCAGCCATCCTCTGGGACTATGGGACTGAGCTCAGTCTTGTTTCAGTCCCAGATGGTCTCAAATCACAAATTCTTTGAGGCCTGGTTCACTGTGGATCATTTCACTGCTTCATCTCTTCCACAGTTTTCATCTGCTCTGAAGATGGCTGATGTAGATTTTGGGGTTACTGTAGGACATCTTTCTTTATCTCCCCAAGCCATGGACTAGGACTGGGCAAATCTAGTTATGGACCCTATCTGTGAGAAATGTCTTTAATTACCAGTTTCACCTGGAAACAAGGAGGGTGTTTGGAGAATCTGATTTTGGATATTTTTCCTGAGGTTGCTCATAGAACTGACATGGATACTAAAAATATGGGTCAAGATGCAAAATGCCTGCTAGAGCCCTTGTCTGATCACTGCAGTTTAAGAAAGGGTGGAATGCTAGGGGATGGCTCTGATGGTTCCATCATACTCTGCTTGAATTAAAGGTGTCACACATCTTTTAAATATTGGCAAAGTCTAAGGAAAGTATTACTTCAGGCTTGGAAAACCTAATGAATAGGATAGATAGTGTTTGAATGTAAGTACTTCATTATTAAGGATTTATAGGATTATAGGATAAATAGTATTTAAACAGTGTTCTTACTGACAACTCTTCTTTTGAGACTCTGACAACGTCACCTTGAATGTGTTTTACTAGTTTGGTAGTGTAATTCTGTGAAGGATTTTTTTACATAGTCCATCTTATTTTAAGTTCTATAGAACCAGAGTGAAATATCACTATTATACTTAACAAACTCTTCATTTTTTATTTAGTTGGCTTGCCTACCCAGATATTAATTTTAAGGGACAAGCTACCATTTTAGAGGAAGACCAAGGACTTTTTGATATTTCTGCAGCGGAAATGAAATCATTGCGTCCACTTCAAGTGGTAAGTAAATTTAAGAAGAAACATTTCCTAAAGTACCCAGGAATCCAAAATTAAATCACTGGTGACTGCTCATGGATCTCAGTCTTGTCAAGTAAAGACGTATGCTATTAATCAGCACATTTTTGATACATTCTTTCTGTGTGTTTCAGAGAATATCTGTTGAAATCAGCTTAATGTTTTCTAGAAGACATGTCTGAATTTACTTTGTGATACATGCACTTTCCTTATAAGCATTATCCTGATAAAAAAAAACTTTTGAATATTTAATAAACTTCTGAATTTGTTTTGATACTTGCTAGAAAATTAATGGTTGTAAATTATACTCCTCCATTGCTGTAATGAATGATAAATTCTACATTAATAATAAATGGGCTGTTCTGTCGATGGATGCTTTCTTATAGATAATAATTTCCTGTGTTCTTTTTTTTTTGCAAACAATTTAAGAACCAAACTATTCAACTAAATGTTAGCTATGTAAGAAATAATTTTTAATTCTGTGACTTTAGAAAATAAAAAAAAAAAGAAAAAATTTTAATACTACAATGTGGAATAGTATTCAAAGGGAGGAAATTATCGAACTGGGATTTTTGTGAAGAGGGGTGACTTCTATGCTTTTCAAATTTGAGATCATAAAGACACTAAGTCTGATAAAGTATTGATGTAGCAAGTGCACTCTCTAATTCAGAAAGCACACATTGCAGAGAGTAGTGTAGAGAGTAGTGTTCATAGTACTGAGTGGTCTAGAAATATACTCTGCCTGATGAGATTTATATTTTTAATTGCAGTAACATTGGTTTTTCACGGTCTAATGCTTAGCAGCATAGGCTCATCCCCTTCAAAGGAATGTTACTGTGCCACACCCAGCAGGTTCCCATAGTCCTCCACCGCCCACTGATCTGCCACCAACCTCCCTTTTCCTTTTTGGACACTATACGAAAGGAGTATGTGTACTTCAGAATTAAAGCTCAGTTTCCTTTCTTAGATGGGTTATATTCTGGAGGTGTTCTTCTTAACCTTTCTTCCCCAATTACATTGATGGAGGACATTTGGCTTGATTGTGCCTCCTATAAAATTCTGTGCTTTAAATTTTAAAGTTATTGTGATTTAAAGATGACTGGCTCGTAAATCCTCACTAATCAGATTTATTATTTTATTGAATCTACGTATGTCTCTTAGTTATTTTCAAATGTTCATATGTCTAATGTTAAAATTTTTTGTTATCTTAAGGGTGGATTGAAAGTGGAAATGCCTATGAACTTAAAAGTAAGTCATCAAACTGAATTTTGTAGCAGTTGTGATTTAAGCATTAATGTTTAAGCACTTCTGTTAACTAAAAAAAAAAACTTCTTAATATGCTAGTACATCCTAACTAATGAATGTTAGGGTGCCAGGGGAAATTGTGAGTGTCCAGGCTGTGACTGGGGCGTGGGGTTCAGTGTGCAGTAGGTGACACAACTAGGCGACCTAGGTGAGCATCTACTGACAAAGGAGAAAAGTGGTAGGTTTGACTTTCACTCACTCAGGAGTGATAGTCTGAAGGAAGATGCAGCATGACCAGAGGGAGTGTAAGTAGCTCCTGTCAGCTAGATGCTTGCCTGTAAATAGAAGTATCTGAAGGCAACAATAGAAGCCATGAAAGCTCAGGGTGGAGGGGTGGGAGTGGTAGTAACATTATGATTAGGCTTATTTGGGGAAAGAAGCAAATGAAAACTTAAACTAGCCATAGAAATAGGAAGAAAACCAACACAGTAAAGATGCAAAAAGGCCTGTGTTTAACTAGTTTCTAGCACCCCTAGAGACATAAGCAACATACAACTCCAGCCCTCCCATTTCCACGAGTCCTAACTTGTGGCATTTACCACCATTTGCTTAATCACATAGATGGAGTTTTTAATTTACTGTTGTTTAATTTACCTGAGTGTATCTATCTAATGTGTTAGCTTGCACCCTTCCTGTTGCAGCTGCCCTCCTCCTGCCCTTGGAATATAGTTAGTGCTGGAAAATTCTAAGAGGAGAAGGCCAAGTTCTAGCTCACAAAGAAAAATCATCTTAGGGGAAGCCAGATACAAACGAATTAAAGAACAGCTTAAGGCAAAAGAATCCACAGCGTGGGATTAGAATAAAGTGCCAAAGTGTTTGAATTAAATCTATTGAATTAAAACTTTTTAATCTTGGTTTTAAAAAAAATGTATTTATATCTGAATTAACTGGCAGAGATGCTGTTTTGGTATGGGTTTGATGAAACCTTTTTAAAGCTCCCAGGTGATTCTAACATGCAGCCAAGCTTTTGAACCAGTGACCTATTCGATGCTGATTGAGCTGTGAGACTCCCCTAGAGCTCCAGTCTCAGTCTCCCGCATGCTGAATCAGAACTTGGGGTGCCACAGGCTAGGTCTTCCTTGGACATTTGCACTTTGACAAGTTGGAGTTGCTGTCATAGTCACAATACTCAAGTTTCATGTGTTACTCATGAAATAATGTCTTCTTACTTAGTCTGTGTTTGGCACAGATAGCATATATTAGATGCAAGTGAAACTTCACAACTTCAGCCCAGCGCTCTGAAAATTTAATGTATAGGAAACATCAGGAGATGATGTTTTTCAGTTTGAACAATGTTATCACTTTTAGAAATAAGGAATCTCTACCTGCTAGTTCAGTGTATTTAAGTGCAGGCCTTCCTTTGCTGCCAAGGTTCAGAGATCCAATTGTGTCAAATTATGTTATTAACCACGAATAGAACCAGGTGGTTGTGGGCAAATTAGCACTGTTTTCACTGTTACAGCTTCCACTTACAAAAGGCAGGTTATACTTCAGAAGATACTCAAAATCTGTAGAAAAGAAGTACTTATCCATTCCAAATTTTGAAGTAAATGAAATGCTTGAAGTGTGTCCTACTGCTCTTATCTGCTACCCCATCTGAATCAAATATGAAATAAAAATGCCATCTTTTTCAATATTTTTTTATTTTATGGAAGTTGTATATTTACCCCTTTTTTGTCAGTGAATAGTAGCAATCATGTATATATTTTCTCAAATCAACAGACAATTTATCATGATGCCCTGGAACCACCCTGTCTTACAGGGGAAATTCAATAATACGAGTTAGATCTCTATTAAATTCTAACTAGAGGGTTAAAACTCAGAAAGATTCAGGAACCACTTATAAGGTAGTTTATCCTGTGAGATGCTGGTAGGGTTTGGGTAGCCAGAACAATATAATCGTAAATATTAATTAGTATATTAACATAAAACATATTAAGATATTTAACATTTATGGTAATACTCACATATTCCTTGTGAATATGAGTCAGTGTGCTACATTGTAAATATTTATGAAAAAAAGTGGACAGCATTCCTTATGTTGTGCCTGCTTAGTGTCATTTAAGTAAAACCATATGTATCTAAAATATAAAATTTAAGTGCTTTTCTTTCATATTTTCTAGGTTATTATTTATGAAAAAACTCACTTCCGTGGACAGGCAAGAGAGTTTAGTGAACATATAGACTCTGTCCCTAATTTTCTAAAAAATGAATTGGACTTTTGTGGAATTGGATCAATTCGTGTCATCGGTGGAGTGTGAGTGTTACATTTTCAGTATTTGATTTACTGGTCTATTTTTTAAGATCAGCACACACACAAAATGTCCTAAGCAGAGTAAAAACATCATGCCTTAACGTGAAAATAAGCATCCCACTGTAATAGGGCCAACAAAATATACTAGATGCCAATGGCCTGCTGGGAGCTCTTGTTGTGAGAAACTCTGAGATAGATCAAATGTAAAGAACTTTCTAAAACTTCACTGCTCAATAATTGCAAGATGAGAATTGTGAGATCAAATTATTTTTCTTCACAGATTATGAACATGAAGCAGAAGCCCTATGTAACCTCTGAGCGTCAGTTGAGCTCAGTTGGCGTTCTGCGCCGAGCCCATTGTTAGTGAGCCTTCCCTTACTGAAGCAGCTGATGGGTGTTTCCAAAGACAACTTTTTGTAGTTGTTTTTTTTTTTTTTTTTTTTTTTTTTTGCTTAGAAGAATTGGGGTATAGGCCAGAGGTATGTGGAGTAAGAGGAAAGTGGAAAGCAGAATGGGCCAATCTATCAAAATACACTGTTGAGGGGAGCAGTGGATGAGACAGGAGAGGTCTGCTGCGCCATGTGTGGCTCAGCTCCCTGGCTGCTGATTGAAGTCAGGCAAAGGTGACAGCGTTTAGACTTAACCCTAAGGCACTGGGAAGGCTCCACCAAAGACAACATTTTTGACAGTTGTTACTCTCTGGCCTGAACTGCTTTGGAGGGAGCTCCCTAATCGTTTCTGAATGTAAAGCTAAGTATGACCATAATTGCTACAGCTTGAATCAGCAGTTATTGGGCAGGCACCCCAGAAAATCTGTGACCAGAGTAGGATACACCTTTGTATTTGTGGCAGGTAAAGTCATGAAGAAGATTGCTTGTAAATCACTTGCCTTCATCAACACAGTACCAAAATCCCTCCAGAAACACTCTGCTAGTTTTCCTGTTATGTTGGTTTGTTTGGAATATTCGTTCATTTTCATTTAAACATTTGCATCTCTTCATACTTGCAGCAGTACTGCACAATCTATTTGTTCTAGCAGCAACTCAAATATTTTATTAATGATGGTTAAATGACTTGTCTAATATCATTGGAGGATCAGTCTACATTCAGATACTTGAACTTGACAATTTGGGGCAATAAATCAAGTGAAGGCCATACCAGCCATTTCCACTAATGGAAATGTTAGTGACTGTAGTGAGAGGATGGGTGTCACTGGCACATCCATACTTCATCAGGCATGCTGGTAATAATTAATTTTTCATCCTTAACTTTAAAAGTGCATTGAATGCTTGAAGTACAAATATGTTTTGGATAAGCACATCTTTATTCTGGTATATTTCTTTGCAATGTTCTTTGATCTGTGAACACACCTGCTTTTTGCTAATCCTGATATAAAATATTTTTGCTTTTTATTTCCTTTGGAATGTGAATATTTTTTCTATTAACAAGATTGCGATTTACATTATTTTCTGAGATTCTTTGCAATGATTTTATAAACTCAAGAAAAATATCATGGCTTGTAGTACAACATACTTCATTTTTTATATGACAAGTACAGGAGAAAAATGTACTGTTCCCATTTAAAGATGAACAGCTAACTTCATTTTTCATTATTTCTATCATTTTCTACTTTTGCTTTAAATTATTGAGGAACCAGAGGAAAGGAATTTTTTTCTCAAATAATATGTAATTTTTTTTAAATCCCAAATGTGTATATAAGTTGAATTCAATCAAAATTTAATCAGAAAAATTGAGCAGAACATTTTTGAACTGACAGGTCATAATTACTGATTTTTTTCTTTAGTGTTAGGATCCTCCAGACCTTTTTTCCTTTTTCCCCCTTTCAGGTACATTAAGGGCTTCTTTTTGTTTTCACATTTACATTAGAGAAAATTTCCTATAAAATTTATCTTTATACACTAGCTTAAGAATAAAAGGTCTGTTTCTTTACATATTACACCTGAAGTAAGGTGCATAACATATTTCTCTCCACACACACAGGATCCCTCCCCTTGCAATATACATCCCTAAACAAAGAGCTAGAAGGAATTTCATGATTACTGAGCCACAGTTGTTGGCACCCTGTAAAAACAATTCTCTGCAATATTTTCTCTTTCTTCACAACTGTAGTAGGAGGAAAACACTAGTCAGGCTTGTTGTTGTCAAGCTTCCCAGTGCACAAGTTCCCACTTCTAGAGCTCAGAGTGGCCCCCTTGGGCTCTGCCCTGAAGGAGAGAGTGTCACCTCCAGCCAGGCTCTGATGCCGGCTGTGGCAGGGCGGCATGACCTCGGCCCCAGCTGGGCCCTCCTTGTCGATCAGATACTGTGAATTACTGTAGAAAGTTGGGTATCTTGGAGGAGATTCCTAACAAATGTTTATCTATGTCTCGGGCTGATTGTGATAGATTAGATACGAAGAGGCCTGTGTCCCCGGAACCTGCTCCATCAGAGACCCACTAGTGCCCGTCACCATCCCAGATTCCGTGGGGAGCTACCGCTGCCATCCATGAATTCTTACATGAGACTTTGAATCACTAGGTCACCTGGTCTAATAGCAGCTCAGTCAGATTTCCCTGTTGCTCTTTGTTGAAACCCACCTGAACTGTGGTTCAGATCTGAAGCCTGATGAAAGGTTCCTTTAACTAAATAAATGTTTACAGAAGTGATCATTGTGCTCCCAGCAGGGTCTTGCTAGTAAAGTGAGAATAATCTGTGGGTCTCATTGTAGATTTGCAACCCTATTTTTATTGGCTATTTGTGCATTCCACTGATTTTTATTTGGCAAGCTGTTCTCAGACCATATTGAGATGTGGTATCAGGTCATGTCCCAAACATTTAACAAGCGTTGCTCTTTTGCAATTCTACAACAGTTAACCTTTTGTTGGAAAAAGCCATCACACTATAAAAATGATTGATCTGTGAAGCATACACCACTTGTCTATATTTGTAAATGGCAGCAAAGCAAATGTGTTGTTTTTTAAAATGTGATAATGTGCAACTAAGTGCTTTATTATGACTTTCTCTTCGTTGCCTGAAGTTTTATTAATGGCTCAATTGGATGTCCTCTGTATTTCTAGGTGGGTTGCCTATGAGAAAGAACATTTTAAAGGCCAGCAGTTCTTGCTTGAAGAAGGCGATTTTGAAGACAGTAATGCCTGTGGGGCATTAAGTGGTCCCATCTTGTCTTTCCGGTACTTACAAGCTGTGAGTTAGCTTCCTTCTCTTTAATTTTCTATCGATGTTATCTTTCCACAAAAATGGAGTATGTCCTCTGAACCAGCATAAAATGTTATAAAAATGTCTCTAATACCTCAGAGCACTAAACTGAACTGCTTATGTGACTACCTGTTTTTCTTAAAGTGTTGTAATTACTATGGAATAGTGATATGTACTTTTTATCAGTCGACTTCATGATCATATATTGTGCCAGGTACTAGAGATAAAATAGCAGGGACCCAGCTTTGCATTAGTAGGGAACCTGGCATTTAGGTAATGATTGGGTTTGGCTAGGATCCTATTAAGCAGAAGTATTTAAGCTAAGTTACTTGCAAATTTTAACTAGAAAGTGAAAATGATATCTAAGCTGAAATTTCATATTCAAGACTTAGAAAATGGAAAAAAATCCAGGACAGGGTGAAGGAAAGAGGTGGAGGTTGTTTTGGAAAGAGATTAATATATATAAAGGTAAGGATAAAGGCTGGTGATTCTTAGGTGATGGAGACTTCACCCTCTTGGGAGCATTCCAAAGTGTCTGGAAACCTTGGTTTGTGAAAACTTGGGGGGAAGGGGTGCTACTAACACACAGTGCACAGAGACCAGTGATACTGCTAACCCCTACAATATACAGGATATAACCCCCATCAGCGAATCATGAGGCCTAAATAGTGTTCAGGGAGAAACTCATGTAAATGAAAATGGTGTGTTTGGGAAATGCGGTTAAGTTCGCATGTTGGGAAGAAATTTGAAACAATCGGTCTAAAACCAGATAATGAAGAGCCCTAGAGCAGTTCTGATTTTTTTTTTTCTTTGACTGAAACTTAAGCCACTGATGGATTTTATACTTGGTGCATCTGATTAGATCAGAAGTTTAGAAAGCTCTTTTTTGGTGACTGGTATCAAGAAATTTGGCACTGGATTAAAGAAGGTGAGTCTGGAGTCAAGAGGGCCAGATGTTGGAGGACTTCAGGTAGAAGCTGATGAAGTTGCAGAGGGGAGCAGATAGACTTAACAAACTCTCTAGGATATCAAAATTTATCAAATGTTGCTTATTTTCTACAAGCTCTGAAGACTTTTAAATGTGTTTCACATGTTTCAGCAGTTACAATGGCTTTACCCTATATTCTTTACAAATTTGTCTTTACCCCTATAAATTCTAAAACTTCCTGGCATGGCTGCTAAAGCCCTTCTTTGAGGAATCAATGAGGCACAGATGTTTTTGGGTCATGCAGACTTTGGACGAGCACGGGAGTGTGCTCTGTGTGATCCTTTATGTTTTTGTCTGTCAGGGCCAGCAGTGGCATGTTGCAACCCCCTCACCTTTCAGGTAGGAGTACCTGGAAGGGAGAAACAATTCAGAGAACAAGGGAGACTTTTTTGTCCATGAGTAATCCTCATCAATAAAAAAGTGAGTTGCAAATCAATTCTACGTGAAAGAAATACAGGACAGTCCATTGAAATTAAGCATTGAATTTGCTCACATGGTAGATAGATACCTTTTGAAGTATTTAGTCCACTATTCTAATGTAGAAGGGCCAAGATCCCGTCTTCCTGGCCATTCCTGACTTGACAACTAAAAGATAAAACCAGATAGTCTTCATCATCATTTTTTTTTTTTCATTGTGACTGAATGCATTGAGAAAACTAAGGTCAGAAGTCACAGCGTCTTCCACCTAATATTAATTTTCCCCTCCTTATTTAAAAAAGCTGAATTAAGGGCCCTCTCTGGTGGTGCAACAGCTTAAAGCACAGCACTGTGACACTATCTGCAGCCACTGCAGCATGAGTTTGAACCTTGGCCAGGTTGGTGACCCACATCGTGCAGCAGATCTCTCCTGTCTCACCCCCAGCTCCCCTCAGCAGTGTATTTCAGTCATTCCACCTGTTCTGTTACCCACTCTGTCTCTGGTGAATTCTCTGATGCCCCACCCCCCCCATGCTTCTAGCCTGTATCCCATTTGTTGTATGCATAAATAAATTAATCTTTTTTTAAAAAAGCTGAATTAAGCAGAAGCATTGTTTATCTTAGAAACATTTAGCAATGTATATGATGGTGTCTTACAAAGAAGACAGTGACTAAAATAAACCAAAACGCAAGTTGTAAGTTGAAATCTCCCAGTGACAGAAAATATGAAAAGGTATAAATATTATAATGGTACAACTAAATGATTAGGTGTTATTTGATGCAGACTGTACACCAAAATGTATGTGGGCAAAATTGGTATGTTTTAGCATGTCAGTTATAGTTGTGTGTAGGTTTTGTGCATTTGCAAAAATAACACAATTTTTACATAAATAAATGAAAATGCCTGTCAAGAAAATTTTCTGTTCTCTTTAAGTTAGATTTATGAAAACTAAAAGGATTAGTTGTTCACCAACATTCAAAGATGTGATTTTAATTTTCATTATATAATCCTAACATTTCTCAAGGATTTACTAATGGTTTTATACATACGTGTACTTAATATTTATGAAAAGGAGGTGGAACTGGCTTCCAACTTCTTATTGACAAGGGTCTCCGGTATGGAGGCTGAGAATAAGTTCAAGTGTAAATCTGTGCTTTGAGGAGCAAGTCAGTTTAACTCTAGAGCCTGTGTCATATTGTCCATTTCTTCTTTGTTACAGAATGGGAGACTATAAAAGCACTTTGTCACAGTGGAAAACAGGGTCTCATTGACCCACAAGCTTATTAGCATTTCATTTATAGCTATAAATACGTAGTTCCATTACACGCCAACATACATATACAATAGATAGTTCCATCTTTTAAAAAAAAAATTTATAATTTAAATTCATGGTTCCCAAAATATTTTTAGGTAAAATACATTTTTAAAATATGTACATATTTAGATAACTTGGAATTTGAGAAATTTATATATTAGGAGAAGGCTTTCAAAAATTGCTTATCAAATTATACTTGAAATATTTTCTGTTCTTTGGACATAGCAGATAGTTGGGAAGGAATTCTTTTTAAAAAAGAAAAACTTTTTGAGGAATGGTTGATATGTAAAAGCAGTACATTTTAATGTTTAAGCTCAGTGAGTTTGGAGATAGTTACGTACCCCTGAAACCATTACCTCCCAGTATTTGTTTTCTCTCTCCCTTTTTTATTACTGTTTCTGCTTTATTACCACTCTTCTGTAATAAGAAACATTAATGTAAAATCAGCCCTTTACAAAAATCTTAAACATACCACACTGTATTGTTAGGTAGGGAATTTAAAGCTCTGTCACAAGCTACATGAGTTAACAAGCATTCAGGGCGTGAGACACCTTTTCCCCATACAGACTCATAGGTGTGTCTTAACTTTGAAAAAGTGAAATTTAAAATCCAAGCTAAAGAAATACAAAATAAACAAGGGGACAGATAGAAAAACTGCCTAATGCAATTTTGTGACGCCTGGCTGCAGTACACAGACATTCTGGAGCTACTAAGAAGAAATCTTGAGTGTATTCCTTAGGGATAATGTCATCTGTGTTGTGGAGGGCTTTGGAAAGAACAACCAGAAATGCACTCCTAAATCCACATGAGTCAGACAGACATACTGATTTGGAGTTGATTATTTTTTACAAAGCAGGCCAGAAGGACTGTTTAGACTCTGGAGATTAAAGAAGGAATTTTTATTCCTTCAGTAAAACTTTCTTGGTATGCTAGCTAACTTTTGCTCAGTTTTATTCTAACTTTGAGGGTTGCTTTTGCTATGATTTTCAGACTTCCAGTCTATTTTCAGATCTCTGAAAGCAAATGGTATACCTGTGAGGCCATTATTTCTCCAGAATTGACTGATATACCAGGTCTCCATTGATGCCTTATATTAATGTTCACTAAAGATTGTAGAACAAGAGCTCCAAAATCTGATCAGCTGAGGGGCTGAATGAAAGTTTGAAATAATCTAATTGCTGAGGCTTATCTTTCATCCTGAAGCAATTGCTCATAGCCATTGCTCTCACAACGGAGAATCCTGTATCTGAGTCTTTATTAAGCTATCCAGAATTTTCAATGGATTGAGGTATTGTTAAAATATAATACTAGTGACCTGTTAACTTCATGGTGCTTGCCCTGGACATGATTCTTAGTTCCTGTTATGTTCACCTCCTGAACTAGGCAGTTAGAAGGTTTTGAGGTTTCCCTCCTTTTCATATTTTATACCAGGCTTTGTATTTGTAGTCCTGGAGACTTTTTCCAAGTGGTTGGAATTGGCTCTGAGACAGCACTCTGCCCGGCACAGACAACATATTATTAGGATGGCACCTTGTCAGCTGGGTCAGGTATTGTACATTTGGTAGGTTTGCACAAATATTGCAGAGTGACAGAAAGGGTACTTAGGAAAAGAAGAAAGGCAAAAGCAGCGATGGGACAAGAAAAGCCTGAACAAACAAAAGATGAGAAGAAGAGAGTAGTGCTACTTGGGAGACTCCCATGGCCCTTGGCCAGGTCTCTGGAATAGTAAACAGAGCAGGAAGGACATAAACTCAAGCCATGGGAGTAAATTTATTTGTGAATGGTATGTTGCCAGCACTTGTACTTGGCACTGGGCCCTGTGACAAAGGATCCCTCCTCTCCTCAGCTCCAGGCTCATTGTTGCCAGGTGGCCTGTGCCGCTAGCCTACTCCCCAGCTCACCTTCCTCACTGCCATCACTCCCCACAGCCCACACACTGGGAATTGTATAAATCACTGCCCAAACAAAACACAGCACATCAAAACACATGTGATTTCATAATGAGAGGGTGCAGACATAACACACATGCATATATCCGTATTTATCTTTCTGTCTTTGTCCAACTTGAAAATAACATTGTGCTCCATGGTGTATTTCAGCTTGTCCCCGCCCCCCCCCCCAATCTTACAACCTGAAGAGGAGTAGAGGACAGATAGTAGTGGGGGCTGAAGTGTTAGGAGCACCATGAGTGTTCAGTGACCAGAGAGGGAGGGCAAGGTCTGTGTGAGGAGAGCTGCTGAAGCCCTTCCTGTTGTGTATTGTTCTGACTTGGTTGGGGCTTTGTCCACCAGTTTCTGACCAGGCCTCTGCAGCCCTCATAATGACACCACGTCCACATAGCTGCCTTAGGCTAATTGCACACTTAGATGTCAAAAGACATGGCGTGGCCAGGTTCCTGGGTGTTGGAAGTTGATGTCAACACATCCAGGTTTGCTGATGTGTCGTCCAGGCTGTAAACATCATTTTCAGTTGGGTGACTTGTCCTGAGGACATCAAGGCAAATCATTTATGGTTATTAATGTTCAGCAGAGAAGGGCAGGTATAGATCTGTATATCTATAGCTAACTAGCTGTATCTGCATGTGTGTATACATATGTGCACATCTGTACACATACACACATCTGTATGGTAGGTCTTCAGATAGATGTCATCTCATTTGGTACTGTTTTATTACATCGATGGGGAAAAAAAATTCCTGGGCAGTGTTGAATGAGGGTCATTATTTGAGGATCAGCTTTTGTTGTGACACCTTATTTCTCTTAAGTTCTGTTTTCTAAGAACCTTTTAACATTAAGTGAGGACTTCTGTGTGTGCATATATACTTCTATGTATGTATGTATGTACCTGTACACATAGATGTGTATAAAATTAGAGTTTAAAAGAAGCTCTAAAGAGAAGTGCAAAACCATGTTTTGTTAAGGGGTCAGTATGGTGAGAGTGATAAAGACTGACTGAATCCACCCAGCACCCATATTTTAAGAACCATGTGTAAGTCATGAAAATGGCTGTATTCTCAGATTCCAAAGGAGTAATTAAACAGAATTACAAATTATTCAATAATAAAAATTTCAGCTAAAAAAAAAAAAAACTTTATGGGGCCCTCCCTGGTGGTGCAGCGGGTTAAAGCACTGCACTGAGAAGCTAAAGCCACTTCTTCATGAGTTCGATTCCCGCCTGCCCCGGAGGTGACCGCATGGCGCGGCAGACCTCTCCTGACCCGCCCGCTGCTCCCCTCAGCAGTGTACTTCCTCGATCTGCCTGTTCTGCTCCCCATTCTGTCTCTGGTGAAGCCTGTCGCCACCCCTGAGCCCCTGGCCTGTACCCCAGTTCTGTATGTACAAATAAATAAATCTTTAAAAAAATTTTTATCTTTTACCCTAAAGTCCAAATAAAATTTGATAGTATCAACAGTGTAAAATTCCTTGAAAGTTGACTAATAAAGTAGAATTACTGGAGAATTTTTTTTTAAGTAGAACAGGCAGATCGACGAAGTACACTGCTGAGGGGAGCAGCGGGCGGATCAGGAGAGGTCTGCCACGCCATGTGGTCACCTCCGGGGCAGGTGGGAATCGAACTCATGCGGAAGTGGCTTTAGCTTCCTAGTGCAGTGTTTTAACCTGCTGCACCACCAGGGAGGGCCTGAGAATGTTTTTAAAATGTATTTTCTTTCTATCCTTTGTTGCTTCAGGACCTGTGTTGCTTGTCTATGAGACAAATGGTTGCCCTAGAGATCTATTCTTAGATTATAATCATGATATATTAAAAAGGGAAGAAAACTTATGTCGTTGGGTCTTACAGAAGTTGAAAGTTTTTAAAAGAATGAAGTAGGCCTTCCCTGGTGGTGCAGTGGCTTAGGACACAGCACTGCAAGCTAGTCTCAGTGACTTCAATGTGAGTTCAATCCCCAACCCCGGAGTTGACCCACATGGCGTGGCAGACCTCTCCTGTCTCGCCTGCTGCTCCCCTCAGCAGTGGACTTCCTCCATCTGCCTGTTCTGCTCCCCACTCTGTCTCTGGTGAATCTGCTCACCTCCCCTGTACCTTTGGCCTGAACCCCAGTTCTGTATGCATAAATAAATAGCTAAATCTTTTTTTAAAAAATGAAGTTGGGGAAAAGAAGAGTTTTTTTTTTTTTCATTTTTAATGTATCCTGTATCTTCCAATTAAAATATGCAGTATGGAAATTTGGAAAATATGTAGGGCAAAATTGCTCAACTTCTCAGAACCCAATGATGAACCTTGTTTTTTGCCTTGTTCTTTTTTAATGAAAATTATAAATCTGTTGTTCTGCTTTCATCTTACATTTATATTTACCTGATTAAAGAGCTTAGAGTAAATCAATTTGAAGTCATTCTCTGCCTTCAATGGTTGTTACTATTGGCAAATTACGCTTATTTGTTTAGATGTAAAAATAGGAATTATATTAGTATAGCCCCATCCAGTGGCTCTTTTGGAAGTAATGTGTGTAAAACTCTTGACCAGTAGTAAGAATAGAATTAATTTTCAACTGTTAGCTTGTTAAAATTTCTTAATTATGTTTATTCCATGCTAGGTGGATAAAGGTTTATCTTAAACATCTTTTGAATAATTACATTAGTTAAAGCTTTCCATTGTTATAAATAATGCATCCTTGAGTATAAAATTCTCATTATTTAGTTTTAGAAAACTTACAGGAATTTCAAGACTGTAAACAATGTTGGTCTTGTAAATATATTTATTAATTATTTTCTAAAATAGATGTCTAATTTATATTTCCATCAGTGTTCCCTCACCGAATTGCATATTAGCATTCTTCTTAATTTGAAATGTAAAACCCACAGTTTAAATTTGAATGCCTTTGTTTTTACTACTAAAATTCGACATTTACTTATTTGTTTTTAATGTTGTTGTTCTTTGTGAATTGTCTGCTTGCTGATTTAAGTTGGGTCTTAAATAGTTTTTTGTTTTCCCTTTAAAGAGTTTTAAAGATATTATCTAACTAAATATTTAGAATTTCGTCTCATTTTGAGTTTTTAATAAGTGATTTTTTTCACAAAACAAATTTTGTTTGTTATTTTATGTTATATTTATGTTCACAAGATCCTCTCCCAGCCTAGCTGTAGTGCATTGTCTACATTATTTTTCATGTAGCTTGCTTTCTTTAGGCACAAATGAGGCTTTAGTTTCCTTTACAGTTAGTGTTACAAATGACAGCTTATAAGTCCCCACAATATACTAACTCCAGAATAATTCCCATATGTATGAATTAAAGTAAAATTCAGGCTTATTTTTTTATTTAATTAGGAGTGGTGACAATTAAAATTGTTTTCAGTGTCATGTAAAATTCATCCTGTGGTTATCTGTGTGAAAATTATTCCACAAATATGTGAAAATTGTGTTTAGATATAATGCAATCCATAAAGCAAAATGCATATATTTTTTCCTAAACTTTTCTCTTCCTCTTTTTAGAATTTTATAGAATCTTCTGTCACACTCTTTGAATCTGACCTAGAAAGTGGGAAGTTTATTGACATTACCAATCAGGAAGTTTCTGACTTAGAAGAAATTGGCTTTGGCAGTGAAACAGGATCCATTCACGTTAAAAGTGGAGTGTAAGTTGCTCCCCACTCAGAGAACCTTGAGAGATTCTTTGGAGTTTAAAGCTTTGGCTGCTCCAGTTTGCATCACTGCAGTTCATTCTTTGTTTTTCTCTCCTATAGATGGGTTGCCTACCAGCAGAAGTTCTTCTGTGGAGAACAGTACATTTTAGAGAAAGGGAAATACAAGTGCTTTTTTGATTGGGGAGGTTCAAACAATATAATCATGTCAATACGACCTATCCAACTGGTGAGTGAAGTATGAACATAACCAGGCCCTGCGGGATATAATAACATACCGTTGACTACTGGAGGGGAGCAGGCTTCTTTAATAGTAGAAGTGTGTTTCTGTAGGAAATGAAACAGCATAAGAATTTCAGTAGACTCCATAGAGAGCACAGGATGAGGTGGCCTGTCACTTGACTGGTTTATTCACCCAGCAGCATCTGTTTCGTGCCCCTGGTATGTATGTCAGATACTGTACAGGTCACTGACGAGTAGGGCTACCCTGATGAGTCTCCTAGAGACTAGACATAGGAGCAATTAGCAATAGTAGGACTAGTGAGGAAATGAGTGGGTGGTCTGGTGGGGGAGGGAGCACCCTGGCTGGGGGTGGGAGCACCCTGGCTGGGGGTGGGACCATGCCACAGAAAAGGCCCAGTGCGTGACAACCTAAGATAGAAGCACAGCTTTGCCAAGCATGCAAGAGGAGCAGAAAGGGCATCCCACAGGAGGAAATAATCATGTGTACGCTATCACAGGGATGCGAAAGTGCACTAGATGGAGAGCTGCAGTAACCGCAGAACTCGGGAAGGTGCCCTGAGGTAGTAGCCGGTGAGGGCTGCCCAGGGAAGACTCTAGTATTCTAGTGAGTGAGTGTTAGGGCATGTTCTTCTTTCAGCTATAATATGTACTTAAATTCAAAATAAAGGTATAATCAATAGTAATTATTGTAAGAAGATTCATTAGGTTAACTGAGGGTCTCAAGTCATGCCAAAAAATCCAGCTGGTCAGATAACATTTTTTTTTTCTATCTTCAGAGCATTTTAAAAGACAGCTTAGATGTATGGTCACAATTTTTAATATGTTTTAATGTTTTTCAGGAACCACTCGGGATAAATGAGCCTCCACATTTGGTATGTTTCAAAAGTAGTCTTGCAGTTGTTTGATTGCTTACTTTGTAGTACTTTGAACGCACCTGGCAGCCTCTTTCATGTCTTTCTGTTTCCCTCCTGCAATCTTAATGTGTCTGTATCTCAGTTTATAGTCCACTTGGTACCCAGGAGAGGGAGCAGCGTGTCAGTTACTGGTTGCATGTGCGGGGGTTGGTCACACGCCTTGGTTTCTGACAGATCTCTGAGCTCTCACTTTGGGGTCATTTTACATCTCTGCTGTGCTTTCTCTCCTGTCACCTACTCTTCGTCAGTGCCATGGTCTTGCTCAGCATAGTGTATCAGCTATCTCTGCAGGAGCAAACTTAACCATAAAAACTGATGGTTTTAACATGCTCATTATGTAAATGTATTTCTAATACTGAAATCAAATATTTCGTGAAGCACTAGTAAATACATCCCAGTTTCTTTATTTCTGCGTGCTAATGAGTTGAAAGATTGGACAATACATAGGAGTCTAATGATTGTTACCCACTAAGGACTAGGAACTGTGCTTATTTGGTGCTTCAGATAACTCAAGTCAGGATTAATCCCATTTATAGATGTGAAACTGAGACTTAGAACTTTGTTTCACAAAAGTAGAAGTAACAAAATAGGCATTTCTAGTATCTGTCTTTACCTAACTAACCCACAAAACAAAGCTATGATAGGAGCAATACAAGAGTAGGGGTGAGAGCCTTGCTGCCTCTCTCTCATTTAAAATAACAAATTTGGAATAAGTTCTGTCAAGAAGCCAAATGTAGTGATTAATTTTAAATATTTGACATTTGCTACCTTTAGAGAATGCTGAAACTGCTGAGTTGTATTTTCTCACAAAACAACTTAGAGAATGCTGAAACTGCTGAGTTGATGTTTTGTGTTTGTGTCAGTGAATATGCATTTCAGTTTAGCTTACTCTAACCACGCTTCTATTCACAGAGCATTCAGTTTTTACTATTTTCTGATTAGCTCAGGTCTATTGGGAACAATTCCTGTCTGAATATAATTGAGTTGCATTTAAAAACACTTCCTGCCAAAGTTTTATATTGAATCTTTGAAAACTCCCAAATGTGTGGACCTTTAAAATACTTTTTCATACAAATCAATATAACATGAAAGCATCAAACAGGAATAACTCCAAATTGCACACTGTCTGGGTTTTAAAAATGCAGCTAAAAAGTCACATTCTTTTAAGCTCTATTTCCTTTCTTCCTAAGTCCTTGTTTCTTGGGGTTTTTGTTTTGTTTTGTTTTGTTTTTTTTTTTTTATGAACTTCCTTGTTTCGAGCGGATTACTTGGGGGATTTCTTCATAGTATTTCCAGTCCAACTTGAAGAGAAAAGCAGCAGCAGAACACGCCCAATGAAATTGCCCCACTTCATTGTTCTGGCTGTGGTCCAACCTTGTGAAATAAGCTTTTCTGACAGGTATATGATAGCTGGATGGTAACAAGCAGACAAAGCCTTCTTGATTTACTCAGTATCTAATCTCTTATTATTTCCATCAGAGCAAATTTTCAGAACATTTTGCTTGTTTTTACTTACCCCAATAAAAACAAATGGATCTTGGCTGACACTCTAGTTCCATTCAGTCGCTAGAAAGTGTTTTTTCCTTCACAAGTAACTGTGACAGTCAGAATGACAATTCAGATGCTGTGTTCAGATGTGCAAGTTATTTTCCTTGTCAGAGGATGAAGAGGGAAAAATTGCATCTCAAGTTCAAGTCTGAGAGGGAATATTTTTATTCTGGTGGGTTTGAAGGCAACCTTAAACAATCAAAGAAAAGAAAATTAAGATAATGGGTTGTAGAAATTCATATCCATCATAAGATGTTGGCCAAGAAAAATATTGTTACAAAGCATGTTATGCAATATGTCACATTTGAGCACAGAACACCTCATATTACTAAGATTATTTTTATTCCTATGACTGAAGATTAATCACCAAGTTTAATTGTGAACTCAAAGTGTACAGGATCCATTATAGAGATTTTTCATGATTAGCAGATGGCTTTTTGTTTTCTCAGAGCAAAAAAGATTGTGGATTCTATGCATATTGTCATTGTCTTTTTCTTATCAAGTATTGACCTTCAGAAATCTCACTAGATTATATCTTGTCAAATAAAATCTTACAAAATTTCATTTAAAGTGATTTTAGTTTTCAAGGGGGCTATGATTAGGCCTCATTGTCTAGAGAGTCCAACCACTCTCCCCTGTGACTCCACCAAGATCATTTCTTTCCTTAATCTTTTTTAAGCCATTTGCACATGTAACTGGAAGTGTGGGTTTCTTTGAATGCTGATTCCCTGTTTTAGTTTGTAAATTATTCTAACTCAGAAAAGCAGCTAGATATTTCCTTGTATTAGATAATTTGGCTACACTGAATTTTAAAGTGATTACATTTATGGTTACTGTAAGTCATGCCTGGGGAATAGAAAAGCAAGTTTTAGTCAAATAGCAGTACAACTAAAGAACAGTAGAGAAAAGTACTTCTTTGTGGGACTCTGAACAGATGATCGTTTTTAAAATCCAGGAAGGTTTAATCTGATTTAATCTGAGCAATGGGATTCTTCTGTGCATAAATCAGAGAAGTAAAGTTATTGTAGAACATGCATTTGATGTGAGAAGTGGGTGCTACTACACGATGAGGCTACTTGATGCAGAGGACAGGCTCTGTGCTCTCCATCAGCGAGCTTGTGAGAGAGGTAGAGGGCTGCAGAAAGCCTTTCCAGCGCAGGACAGAAAGTGTCTCATTGAAATTGTTCAGCATTGGAGTAAATAAAATTACACTAAACATTTTGTTATTGTAGAATCGAGCCCAGCTTCTCAGTAACTAAGGTCTTGAGTTTTTAGTTTGTCTTATTAAAGACCTATTATATTTACTTAGGCCTATCATAAATGAAAAGTACAGAGTAAAAAGCATTTCTGAAAGATGTTCACAAAATGGTTATAATTTCTGTGTCAAAGAAGGAGATAATATATGGGAAAATCCATCTTTCAGACCATTAGTATAGTCTTTTTCTTTTGCTAATATACAAGTTCTATTTGGGGGACAAGTACAGATTGAGTCATTCAGATGTTGTGGAGGGGTGGGGTAAACTCATCTGTTGTTTACCTGATTGAGTTGTCTTTATATATTTATTCTCCACAAATTATCTGGACAGGAAACAAGTCCTGGGAAAAATTTAGGGCTTAATTCATCCAGATCTCAATTTCTCCAAGAGTAGGAACCACAATTTAATTATTAGAATTTGTAAACACAGTTTTGGTTCTGTATGTGCCCTGACAGAATGTTACTCTGAGAAATACTCGAAGCATTTGTAAGGTAGTCACAGGGAGGTGTTACTTCCCTAGGATTGATCATATCTGGGGTGAACCAGATTGCCCTATCTTATTTTGGTGGTGAAGACAAACCTGCAGTATCATCAAGCCTGATAGGTTGGTTTGGATAAAGACTAGTTCAGCCCTCAGTCCTTTGAAACAAAGATACTTTATGGCAAATGAGTATGTCTGTGAATTTAAAGTAATAGTTTTTGGTATGAAGACAGATTAAAAGTTAGTGGTGGCTACTATACATGTATCATCTGAAATATGCTTAATTTGTATTGTCAGTTTAAGATTTGACATTTCATTGCATTATAGTGAGATCTTGAAATATATCTTAAGCTCAACAATATCAACATAATTTAGCAAACTGGGAACACAAGTTGTGAACAAGACTGCTGGGAATCTGTTCTCATATGGCTTTTCTGATTCATACTGTGAGTTAAGATAATATTGGCATGTAGGACAAAGTACAATTTTTTGCAAGTTAAATGTGATTTGCTTTTTAGCATCATGTTTTATAAACCTTTAAAGTGAAAAAACTGCTAACCAGAATATGGGCTCTTATCAAGGAATTAGTGGCAGTTTGCCTGGACATGAAGAATTATTCTTACTCAGGGGGTTATTCCCGTGGTCTATCTGGCTTTACGTCCTTTTCCTAGTCGTTGCCACCAAAGTACTATGACAGAAACTTGCTAGGTAATGACTCCTTGTGGCAAAGAATCTCATGGTATTTTAATGCTCCAAATTCAGCATGGTTTCACTATAGGAAGTAATGTTGTACACAGTCTCTGGGGGGAATTGGTTCTCTCACCTCTGGTTTTGGGTGATCTTTTATAGCAAACCAGCAAGGTCAGGGCAGAATGACATAGCCAAGAAACAGTTCCTCAGAACTCAGGTTGTCAATGTTCTCAAAGGGAGGGCCCTTGGGGACATGAAAAAGGTGAGCATCAGCTGCTCACAGAGGCTTTGTTCTCTGTAACCAGCCTGAGCAAGAGAAAGGGTGATGCTGTGCATGGCTCATTCTGATGCAGCCTTTGCTCCAATGCAGGCCTGTCAGGATGGGGTGGACTGAGGGCCATGTTCTATCAAGGCTCTAGTGTACTGTGAAATATTTATAGGGCTCATTAATTTTTCCTTGTGTACTATAAATCCAAGGCCACTAGCATTGCAGATTAGTATATCTCTGGCCTAAAGGGAAATATCATTGAGATTACATGGATTTTTCTTGACAAAAAGAATTAAAATAGAAAGATAGTTGTATGTAAATTTAAGCTGCATATTTAAGGTGTTTTGGTGGTTAAAAGAAAAAAAAAAACCTACAAGCTGAAATTCAGAAGAGACATCCTCCTTTTCTGCACCATAAATCCTGCACTAATCCCATCATCATTACCTCCACCACCTGCTCCAGCGCTCTCAGGCACACTCTGCTCACTCACGGGAGTGCTCTCATGTGCTCCCCTCCTCCCTTTCATTAACTGCGGGTCAGGCAGAACCAGGGCGAACAAAGCCACACATCATACTAATCCAAACTGCCTTCACGTCTAGCACGAAATTGGCTTTTTCCCACCCATCCTAGCACTGGAGGCAGTAGCTGCTTGATGGGATGGCCCTGGTCACATTTTAGTAGAGAGGGGAGAGTTTCGGATTGAAAGATTTGTTTTCTGGGTTACTGTGCCCAGAATATTCTTCAAGAAATAGGTGAAAATGGTATTAAATAAAGGGTGATGTTCCAGGAAACACAAGTAAATAAATAATGTGAGTTTAAGGAGAATGTCATCCTTATGATAGATTCATTAAAAAGCAGTCTAATATTGTGCTTAACTTTTGTAAGGACATATAAAACTAAAGGTTTTATGTGCTTTGGGGATGATATGAAACAATTGTTTTCTATTTAATTGTTGTGTTGTTGTTGTAGCTCAAAGCATTCAATAAACCAGGATTCCAAGGTGAATGTGTGGATTTCACAAAAGAAATTTTGGATTTGACTTCATTCACACCATATTCTTTTAAAGTTCTTCGGGGTTGGTAAGTGTGATTATTGAGTATTTTCTACTGTTTATAATAACTACTTTTACACTTAATGAGATTTGACTTACATTATTTTTAAATACACAGTAAATTTTAAAATTACTGGTCATTGGCTGAAGTCTAACTTGTATTAAGAACCACTGGTACTATGTAGTGAGACCGGATGTAAATTAACCAACCTCAGCATTTTTGTAGTATTTTGTCTTGCAGTTTATCTTACTTGATTTCCTAAATATTTATATAATCAGTGTATGTTTTTGTAGAGTATAACAGAATGCTATTTTTAAAAGCTAGTAGTTTTGTGACACAATACATATTACTCCTGAGTTTAAAAATTGTTTTGAAAGTCTTTTGTGCACCCACTCTACAGATGAGGACAGTGCTGATTCAGAGTTAGGGTTTCCCAAGGTGATAACATCAAGTGCCAGGCTCTGGACTGCTTTGATTGATGTTCAAATCCTACATCCTTCCAACAGCAGCAACATACTAGATCTTGTGTGTGAAACCGCAGGAGATTCTCAAGACTAAAACACTTATTAACTTTTTTAAATTACAGTAAAACATACATAGCATAAAATACCATTTAACCACTTTTATGTGTATGGTTCAGTGGCATCTCTAGGTATCAAGATCTACCTACATCACTTCCTTTTTCAAGATTTCTTAGATTGTCGTTTTCCTTTCTCTCTGGAACCAGCACAGACTCTGAGTCCTGTTTAACACTTCAGGAATTCCATTCCCCTAATTATTTCCATCGTCTACCACAAACCAGTCACCTCTCAATTATTTGTCTCAAAACCCAGTTGACTTTTTCTCACCTACGTTCAGTCCCACAGTCAGTGATACCCATCGGATAAGCTCAAACTCCGCCCTTCCCAGGAGTTGCTGTCATCGAGCCTCACTTTCCGTAATGCACTCTCCATTCTGTCCTTCCACTTTCCCCGGTCTTGCCTCCTTTGCTTGCCAGAGCTCAGCAAACACTTCTGTAAAGGCCACGCAATCAATGCTGAGGCTGTGCAGGCCGTGCGGGCTCTGTGCTGGCCACTCTGCTGCAGTGACACTAAGGCAGCCACAGGCAGTACATAAGTGAATGGGCACGGCTGTTCCAGTGAGACTGTTGGTGGGCACCATGGACACTGAAACTGGAATTGTACGTACCTTCACATGTCAGTCTGCGTAATTTTGAAAAAATCATGTAAACATACAAAGCCACTGTTAGCTCATGAGTTGAACCGCAACAGCTAATGCCCAGATTTGCCCCCCAGTTTGCTGCCGTTTGCTCACCCCACCCCAAATCCACAACTATGGGTTTTGGGTAGGTCTGGCCAGCAGATTCTGTTTGCTTTAGGTCAGTCTTTATAGTTTTTGTAACACTATTTAAATTCAGGATACTTTTGCAGAACTTCTTTCACACCTTCTCTTTAAACATCAGAAGTCCTCAAGACGCTGGGGAAGCATTCGCCCTTGATAACAAATAGCTGGTATCCAGTACACTCTTCCGGTGTAACCGTAGGACAGGGCCCCAGTTCTTCTCACCTGGTGCATTGTCATTTGCATCACCCACTTGGCCTCCTGCAGGTACTTACACTCACCCCGCCTAGTACTAATCTGAATGTGACTTTAAGGTCAGTCTACCCCATTCCCAAAGTTAACCCAAAAACAAGCATTCTTTTTTTTTTTCCTCTTCCCATTTCGAACCGCTCTGTAACTGTTACTGTTTTTGTATTTACTAACAAAAAAAAACAAGTCTCAATATAAAATGTGTAAAGTAAGACACTGTAAGTTAAATAGGTTGTCTGCAGCTTTCTAGTGAAAAAGAAATATATATACCAATGACCTAGAATAATTTTATTACTGGTAGTTGGCTCTGGGTTTATTCCCCACTAAAATAAACTATTTTGCAAGGTATACTTTCATTTTCTTATAAAGAATTAAGGTTTTTCTGGAGGAAAATGTTTTAACACTGAAGTTTAAGGCAAATTAGTCATGTTATGTGTCACTTTATGTAAGAAATACACTTCATATTATACATAGATTATAATAATACATGTTTATTCAGATGTAAATATGTGCTTATATATAAGTAATTTACATAAAATATATCTATTTTATTTACATTGATGTATAGTTTATTAGAGTATTTAGTGGAAGAATACCAAAAGAACCATGATGATGGTTTTAAGAAAATTGGGGTGTTTGAGAGATTGGGATTAGAGTCTGTTTCCACCACTTTTTAGCTCTGTATCCTTGGGCATAGTGGATCCTCCCTCTCAACTATTTCCTCATCTATAAAGCAGGGATAGTAACATTCTTCAAAGGCTTCTAATAAGGACTAAATTAATAATGCACATAAAGGGTTTAATTCCATGCTAGAAACACTCGGCAAATGTTGGGCTATAAAACACTTACTGGCCCGCCCTGGTGGCACAACTGGTTAGGACGCAGCATTGCAAGCTGGCCTCAGCCACTTCAGTGCAAGTTCCATCCCCCGCCAAAGAGGTGACGCACATGGCGTGGCAGACCTCTCCTGACCTGCCCCCTGTTCCCCCAGCAGTGTACTTCATCAGTCTGCCTGTTCTACTCCCCACTCTGTCTCTGGTGAATCATCTCACTGCCCCTGCACCTCTGGCTTGTACCCAGTTTTGTATGAAGAAATAAATAAATCTTTTAAAAATAATAAGATACTACAAAGATAACATGACAGTAGGTTATGATGTCTGTGATCATTCAGAGTTAATTTGGTCCAGCTATAGTACAGCTTTAGTGATCTTAAAATAGTGGAACTGGAACATAAACACACCAAAATTGAAATAGTGACAGCAAATTCATTTGTCCTCTGGATTCTTCCTTTTTAATTGGCATACCTTAACTAAATGTTTGGTGAATGCTGTGTAGAAGAAAAGTCACTGTCAAGAGATTCTAGAGTTAATTTCTTTTCTAAAATCTCCATTAGCTATCAGATGTGCAGGTGGCAGATTTCATATTCCATTGTGTCATTTTAGGAGTCTTTAACTTCTGTACTCACCTAGACTGATGTAAGCTTGTCAACCCTTAGTTTCATTGCCTGTAAAAATAAGGACGTGCTTCTACCTCCTGCAGTTACTGAGGTCACGGTAAAATAATGTGTGCAGTACTGAGCCTGTGTTTGGCATGGGGGGAGCAGTCAGTAAACTAGAGTGGTAGTGGTAGCTGTCTCATTTTTTTTTTATGATTTATTTATTTATTGACACATAACTGGGGTACAGGCCAGAGGTGCAGGGGCAGTGAGGAGTTTCACCAGGGACAGAGTGGGGAGCAGAACAGGCAGATCGACGAAGGACACTGCTGAGGGAAGCAGTGGGCGGGTCAAGAGAGGTGTGTTGCGCCATGTGGATCACTTCCTGGGCGGGTGGGGATCGAACTCATGCTGAAGTGGCTTTAGCTTCTTTGTGCTGTGCTTTAACCTGCTGCGCCACCAGGGAGGGCCCGTAACTATTTCTTTTTAAAGTGATGCTGGGTGTTTTGTGCTGGTCAGTACCACACATTTATGTCGTCCTGTTACCCTACATCCCACTGCATGATGTGCCTACGTGGACAGTAATGCACTTTTGACTGAGTATCTCACTGATTGTTTTTCTAGCTGGCTCCTGTATTACCAAGAAGAAGGTTCTGATAATCAGTGTGTATTAGAAGAAGGCCTCTATGCTGATCTTACTTCCTGTGGCTGCCCAGCATCTAGAGTCACATCCCTCAAGCCCATTGACCACGTAAGTTCTTTGATGTTGGTACTACTTGTCCAGCTTCATTACCACAAGGGATTATGTGAATTTGGGAGAAATGGTGTAAGGGAAAATAGAAAAGTTTGAAGTATTTACTTGTGTGTTGTAAAACTGAAATTCACTCATGAAATCCAAGCAAAATGTAAGATTGAATTTTCTTTTTTCTTCAAGCAGAAATGGTGAAACTCAGGAATTAGAGTAGCACAAACCCTGGCTTAAATCTCAATTTGATACTTTAGTTAAAGTTATTATTTTAGATAAGTCATATTACTTACCTAAATTGTCTGTTGTCTTACTTAGGGTTGCAGTGTTATCCAAGGCAAGGACTGCCACTGTATTAATTTCAGACTTTGTTTGGGGGGAACTAGGGTTTTCCTGCCTGTTGTCTGCATAATTGTCTGGGGTGCCTTAGAGACAGAGGTTTCTTGAGTAAATGGTTTCTTTCCATCGAGTTTACTCAGAACTTTAAATGTGAGAAAGCCAACATCACTACCTGAGGCATCAGTTTTGAGCTTCCAGCTATTAGGCCTACACAGAGGAAGCATTGAGAATCTGGGATCTGTTCAAGGTATCTAGTTAGTTATAATGATACCCTAGGGGCATATTTGGTCACAGCTGAGATTTACACAGAGGTGGCTTGGAGATAGGAGTGACTCAGATCTCTTAGCCAGAGCTCACACCAGGGATGACAGCCATACTCAGGATCTTTGATCCCAACCTAGGCCATGTAGTTTTATTTCATTAGGCATTCCTGGAGAGAGTATTCTTGGTATTGTGCTAATAATAGTCTTGGCTGAGAAACAAGAACAGAAATAGAGTTCTTGGTCTCTCTCAGTGACCTCTTAAAACACCAACTTGGAAAGACTAAGTGACTACTGATGTCACCTGTCTTCTGGGAGGAAGCTAGGTTTAAAAAAAGAAGAAGAATGTGGCCCAGTCAACCTCTCCAAGTATCGATAAGGCTAAAACAGGAATTGGAAAATGGTTTGCATTTATTGGGGAGGGAATTTCCTTAGCAACTTTCAGTGGTCAAACCAGTGTGTATAGGGACATGGCATTAACTCTATAAGCAAATTATATAGTCCTAAATGATGAAAATACCACCTTGAGGAGTTTTGTAGGACTTCTAACTCACTGAGATAAGCCAAATAAATGTCTCTGGAGGCATTTTAATAACACAGTAATGAGTACTGAAGTATTTACTGAGTATTGAAGAGCAATTTTTTTTAACCTCTGTGATTAAAAAATGAATAATTCAAACTGGAATTTAGAGAAAGTAGGAGACACTGTTAGGTAAGCTGTAATGTTCCTGTCTTGGCCCTAAGGAATCCAGAGTATCAGGAAGCAATCTCTTATGAGGAACTTGAGAGCTATAACCTCTTCACTCTAAGAACTGACTAAAGAGTGGATATAAGAGCAACACATTAGGTGTCATAATGCCTTTATGTGCTACTGTAAATCTTGGGAAGTCTGTCAGTATTTAACCAGCAAGTTTTGTGTCTTAAAATGGAAGGAATAGGTGAGATTGGGCATCCAAGACCGACCAGGAGACTGACCATGAAAAGGCTGCAACAGGTGCTATTTCTTTGGTGAAGGTCCTGAAGGAGACCTGGTGTGTGAAAAGATCAATCTTGCTATTTGTTGTCAGTCAATTATAATGACTAGAATCCTTGAGAATTCTGTCCTAGGAATTTTTCTGTCTCTCTGGAAGAACATACGAAGCTGAATTACTCATTTGGTTATTATGAGATTAGTTTCCCTCCAAAACAGAATTTTCCTACTCATAGGGTTTCAGCTGCTCATGTTCTCCAGATTCTGGGTCTTTTCCTAGAAAATCCAATCTCTTCTGCATTCCTATTGCCCCTACTGAGCTCTTAGTTAGCAAAAGATCCATGCCTTTCTATAGATCTGTTAACATCACTTTCTGTGCCACAATCACTGTGATTCTGGGTTCAACCCAAGAAATGTTTCTGTCCAGTTAAATAAACTTTACATGTATATGAGCTAATCCTTTGAATTTACTTTTATTCATTAAAACTGCAGAATTTAAAGCCTGTTGTTTGTAGCTGGCATTCCCAGAAGTATTGTGATGATGTGTTTAAGGGTCATAATGGAGTCCTATGATTTCATTTTCATACAATATCATCATATTTTGCAAATGACAGTTTGCTCCAGGCTGATTTCTCTGTGTAGATATACATTATATTCCAGAGGTCGATGGATACATAAATGTATAGTTATACTACAGGGAAAGGAAAGGAGCTGGGGACAGTTTATTGTCCTGCTTCTCATAAATGTGATCTTGGGCAAATCATAGAATTTATTTTGAGCTCATTAATTCATCCATTTTTTTTTAAAGATTTATTTATTTGTGTATACAGAACTGGGGTACAGGCCAGAGGCTTAGGGGCAGCGAGAGGCTTCACCAGAGACAGAGCGGGGAACAGAACAGGCAGATCGACGAAGTACACTGCTGAGGGGAGCAGCAGGCGGGTCAGGAGAGGTCTGCCACGCCATGTGGTCACCTCCGGGGCAGGCGGGGATCGAACTCATGCGGAAGCGGCTTTAGATTCTCAGTGCTGTGCTTTAAACCGCTGTGCCACCAGGGAGGGCCCAATTCATCCATTTTTTAGAAATTTTCAGAAGCAGGTATTTTCAAATATGTCCTAGCCTCCAATTTTGGTGCAAATAAGTATCCAGGGCATATTTTTCTAATTGGAAATGAAAAAGAATGTATCCAATCTTAGGACTTACATAGACTAAAAAAGTAAGATAGCATATTAATTTTCAATTAATTCCTGCCATTAAAGTGCCCAGCCATCGGGACAGGAACTGGAAACAAGTAGTATATTTAGGTAAAATATTTGCAGCCCTGGTCTAATAGTGTGGGGGGTAACCTGCTTTTACTATGTTTCTAAGGAAGAAGTCTGTTCACTGCTTTTATAGTACTCTCCATGGTGGTTCAGCATAAAAGTTTAGCCTCCTTTTAAGTCATTCCAATCTTGGCAGTTATAAGTAGCAAAGCAAAAGAAACAAAAAGAGACTATAGAAAAACTTCAAATGAGATGATGATGTGATGATATAAATGATCTTAAAAGCTAGAATAAGAATTGGCAAGACAGTGTTTCATTCTGTACAAAAGTACTGAATAAGGGGCACAGCTATAAATAGAAGATTGTAAATAGTTCCACAGAATAATAGGAAATAATGAGTTTATGTAATGTAGAAGAGTTCTGTTGCTATAAACTTTTCATCTGAATCCATGTACATATAATAATATTGACTATTGAGTTACCTTTTTAAAATGAAGACAATCAAAAACTCACAGTAAGCATCAACCTCCTAAGTGAGACATTTGAAGGACATTTCCTTTCATTTGTTTAAATTATACATTGAAGTACATAGTTTACATAGTTGCATTTTGGGAAGCATCTCCTTTTTAAAATTAGGCAGAAGACAAAGGACTCAGCTAGCTCCACTTCTATTCAGGATTAAGTATTACTGATTAAGTAGTAAGTGATTTAACCATTTTTTATTTATTTATTTTTAAAGATTTATTTATTTGTGCATACAGAACTGGGGTACAGGCCAGAGGCTCAGGGGCGGCAAGAGGCTTCAACAGAGACAGAGTGGGGAGCAGAACAGGCAGTTCAACAAAGTACACTGCTGAGGGGAGCATCGGGGGGAGGGGGCAGGTGGGAATCGAACTCATGCAGAAGTGGCTTTAGCTTCTCAGTGCTGTGCTTTAACCCGCTGCGCCACCATGGAGGGCCACCATTTTTTTTTTTTAAAGATTTATTTGTGCATACAGAACTGGGGTACAGGCCAGAGATGCGGAGGGCGAGAGGATTCACCAGAGACAGAGTGGGGAGCAGAACAGGCAGATCAAGGAAGTACACTGCTGAGGGGAGCAGCGGGCGGGTCAGGAGAGGTCTGCCGCGCCATGTGGATCTCCTCTGGGGCAGGCGGGGATCGAACTCATGCGGAAGTGGCTTTAGCTTCTTAGTGCTGTGCCTTAACCTGCTGTGCCACCAGGGAGGGCCTAGTTTAACCATTTTTAATAAGATTAAAATCAAGACAAGTATAAACAAAATTGTCAAGAGCACTTAAATAGATGAATTATAGGACAAATAGGAATTTTTTTAAGTTGCTAGATATAATCTACAATTAAACTATACGATACTTACAATAAATAAGGCAAGGCAAGTGAATCTTTTATGGGGAAATTTATAAAAAAATTTATTGGAGAATATAAAAGATGGACAGGTAATAGGTGAAAAAGACTCAATACTGTAAAGACGTGGTCTTCCCTAAATTAATACAGTTTGAGGCAAAATACAGATGATTTTCTTTTGACTATTTTTAGGGCATTGGGGTGGGGTGGGAAAATATGACAAACTACCCTAAAACTAAATTGGAAAAATCTAGGTCCAGAATTGGCAAGGTAAATTTTTAGAACAGGCAACCTCACTTCTGCTAAGTGTGTATCGTTTTATTCAGCAGTTATAATGAAGCCCACAGGTACTGATTCAAGGAGAAACAAATACAATATGGAATAGTATAGCATAAAGACTGACCTATCAGACTGAAAAAGTCATAACATATCTTTTTATATGTTTTCAAACAAAAAATGCATCATGACTTTTCCTACAACCCAAATCATAGCTGATGGAATTTGGAAAGTGACAGAAATAGCATTAAAATAAGTGAGGCTATTATGAAATTTAGCCTTGTTTCATTCTAAATAAATAAGTTCCAGATGGGTTACTGGCAACCTAATGTGAAAACAAACTTTAAGATGCAGAAAAAGTGTAGCAAACTATCCTAATGAGACAGTAATTGTATGGGTAAACAGAAACCATATAAGCCAGTAATAAAAAGGCAAAAGGCCAAGCTATTGTGTTATAACAAATTAATACAAACACAGTTGCTTAAAACAACAAAATTACCTTACAGCTTTGGAGGTCAAAAATCTCAAATGAGTTTAA